TTGCCCTCTAAGTAGTAGTTGAATTGGACCCAGTAAAAAACAAGACACCCAAAATGCGAACCCCCCCTTTCCTAAAAGATACACCCCAGAATCATGTGTTTCACAAGGGAGCTCTGCACATCTGATAAATGTGAGAATGGCCAAAACTGGGTTTCATGTTTGACCCCCAAGGCAGACGGACCTTTTTTTTGCGGTGTTTACCACCCATTTTTAAGGGTCAGAGGGAGACTCCGGGCACCTTGTTGCATTGTTTGCGGAGTCTGTACCATTTCAAGTGCTTTTTGGAGTTGGTACCATTTTAAGTCCGCTTTAGGGTACCTGGAGTCCCAAAATAATGGTTGGTCATTGACCCATTTTTAAAGGGCCATGAGACTCCATGTAGTCCCCTGGGCGATTTTGGAGTCAGACCGACCTAGGCCCTGCGACAGCGACCTGGCGCAAGTTGCCCCCTGCACCGCCGCGCCCTGCGACAACGCGTGGCTCGGCGCGACGAGTGGGGGCGACGGGCGCGGCTTCTCCGAGACAAGCAGTGGGTGGGTGTCTGTTTTAGAGGAGGGTCCATTGGATTCAATTCATTGTGTCAAAGCCAGAGCCTCCTGTAACGGCTGGTTGTGATATTATGGTGTCTTTATGTGAAGCCCTGTAAAAATGCTTACACAAGCATATTAATGTACAGCACATACGCTGTATGCGTTGAAAGATTGTTCCCGGGTGTACATATGAATATATTCTTGAATGAAAATGCATCTAAGTGTGAACACAGACTAACATACTCTGTTTCTGCGTTTGCCGGAGATACAACAGATGCAAATTCAAGTGCTCTAAGCACACACACACACACACATGCAAAGGTGGCCTGAAATGTGATGACCAACCGCAAATATTTTGATTAGGTTATGTGCCAGCAAAAGGAACGATAGTCTGCTGTTGGTTTGGGGAGGACAGGGGGGACGACCCCAGAGGAACCACCCATTTTTTTGCATGTTCTTTTTGTGCAATGGATACTGCCCTTAGGACAAATCTTGCGTTTCGTTGGCGTGGGGCATATGTGAGTCGCAAGCGCCGAGCTGTTTGCTTGCAACGACTTGAAGCCAGTCCAAGGATGGGCCAACCACTATCTTGTTACATGTGCAAAGACCTTAGAATGGAAACTTCACTGATGGGAAGGACCCTGCCAGCAAAGAAGCTTCTAAATATAATATTTCCTGACTAAAAGGGGAACCAAGGCTGATTAGTACGGTCTTCCGAATTATACAATCTGTTTCCATGTGTTGGGTGTGCGCCGTTTTTGAGGGGATCCTTTTTTATGGTTTTTAAAAGGAAGTCACAAGGTCAAGCACCATATTGCCCTAAAAACGGAGCTGGATCCCAGGATTTACATGCTTTGTTCCACTCCCAGACGCTCCTGGGGCTTCCAATGGACGACCCAGACCATCCATTGGACACCCCGAATCGAAGGGGTTTTGGGATCTCAAAACCTGGCTGGTTGAGGGCCCAAAATAAATCGGGAGGTCTGGACTAATCAGCTAGCTGGATCCGCTCAATCTCGCCTTCCGGCCGCGTTAGGTGTGAGCCCCAGGATTGCCAGTGGTCTGAGCAGGGAGCCCCAAGTCGTCCAATCCATGCCGAAGCTGAATCGGAGTCAAAAGCTGAGCATGCGGCCCTACATTCCCCCTCTGAGCTAGTTGTTAACATCACCTGTTTGGACCATTTAAGGAATTTGGGGTAAGTGAAGTTTAGCGGAGCGCAGCTCCAGCCAGAAATGCGTCCGGCCACCCTGGTGAATCGTTATGCTATGCCTGGTAGACGAGCTTATTCGCTCATCCCGGAAGGTCAAATAATGACATTATTGTTACCACGCCAAATGGAACCTCGATGGAAAAGGGGCTTCATCATGGCACCTGTAGAACCTTTCTGAAGGTGATAAGGTGATATACCCCATTCCCCCTTGGAAGTAGTGCTTTGGGGCTAGTGAAAACGGTCTTAGAAGACAGAGCCAAAGAGAAGTGACAGACTTGGTGGGACAGTCAGGCAAGGGTGCAAACGCCAGTGGAGAAGCCGGTTGCAGCCCACTTTTCCTTACCACCTGCTTCTCTGCGCAAATCCACTTCGCAAAACAGCCAACCTTTTGAACCGGTTCAAGGGAAAATCCAGCCATGCGCGGGAAACAACAAATCCGTGGTTGTTTTTAATATCGCCCACACTTCTCTTATTCAATGTTTGTTTCCCAGTTCAACGCCAATTGCGCTAGCTTCCCCAAAGCGATTCAATCCTAGCGAAGCCCAACTTGTGCTGCCCATATCCCGGTCGCCTGTACAAAGATCCAGATTTGTTCCATTTGTTTTCTTCAGGGAAGTGCCATGAGAAAGTGGTTCTGCAGGGATAAATGGAAGGCTTCCAGTAGTGCATGATACTCTTCAGGGAAGTGCCTGGGAAGTGCCTGGCTTGCCTGAATTACATCCAGATGCTTAAAAGGTGCCATGAGAAAGATTGCGGGCTGGCGATCAACGTCTAGAATTCATCCGGGCTCTGAGAAGAGATATGATTTTACTGGTTTCAAGGACGTTGCTGGTCCCTTGCCCGTTTGGCTTGAGAGATTCCTGTTTTTGTGTTCAACCAGGATGGTTCTTTGACCACTGTTTGGCTAGCAGGGGGGACTTTCAGGAGAAAAGTGAAAAGCTTTGGATGTCTGAGTTTCAACCGATGTCTGATCTCAGAGCTGCGAAGCCCGTTCTTGAATTTGTACCAAAGCAAAACACAAGGGACTGTGGGGGTCAAAATAGGTACCCAAAATGGAACCTTGGCAAGTGAAAACATGGACTAAAACCTGCTGTCCCCTAGTGGCTTGACCCACCCATATACTTATTTTCCAGCCCCAAGCCTGTTTTGTGACCTCTCATCTGTCCTTTTGCTTTCTACGCCCAAGAAAGAGGTTGGCAGCACGGGGCCCGGAAACTGCTGCCACAATGAAAACTGCTGTTGAAGAGTTGGGGATGCCCGTTTGTCCACAACGAGCACATGAGCCAACTAGAGGATGTCTAGCACCGACTTCGAAGGAAGGTTCGACTTGAGCTTTCAGTCTAGGCTTGTCCAGCAATCCTTTCGGAGCGGAATTGCAAGTTTGACTAACTCAGAGGATTTTCTTGGTCCCCCGTATTTAAGGTTTTGGATTTGGTAAAAAGGGGGATTCGTCAAACGCGAAAGCCTCACTTCCGGGCGCTTTGGGTTATTTGGCGGATAGTTGGGTTGGGCGATCAGGGCTGCGGCAAAGGTCCGCTTCGGAAATGCTCTCATTCTAGGGGTACCTTCCCCATTCTTCCCAGGGATCCTTCTTTCTAGAAAACCTCCGGAAACCCGAGAAAAAAAACGGATCCGGTCTTTGGAAAGAACGATGGTTGAAAAGAATGGAAAAGGAATCAACCAACCCCTAGACTCATGGGATCCCAGATCACACTTTTTGCTGCGGGCTAAAACTCATTCGGATCGATCCCCACTAGCGGGGCGCCCCCGATGAAAATCAAAGAGGGGTTCAGAAAATCCGGGGTTGACCGTGGGACCAGCGCATCTTCTCTCGGTCCCCCGGTAGTGCCCTTCTCTCCCCTTTTTTTGGGGGAAGGGTTCCCCTACCAAAATTAGCCAAGAAATAAAAAAGTTGGTACCAACTTATTCTAACCTTTCTACTGGAGGACCTGGCTTTGTATTTGTCCATTCCGGATCAAAATCAAGCAGGTGTTGTTTTGATCCGGGGTTAACAGTACCCGTGGGACAAGCGCATCTTTTCATAGTGACAAGCCAGAGAGTTTGCCCTTTGATCCCATCAAGTAGCTGGTGCGCATAGAAGCCGCGAGCCGGCTCCCCGCGGAAGACGGGTGAAGGACGAGACGTTTTCGTGGGTTTCGGAGGACGCCGGGGGGACGCAAATGGTGGAAGCCGCGTAGGGTGAACTTCTATTTGCTTAAGAAGATGTTTAATTTTCCCTTGTTGGTTTGAAAAAAAATATCTTTTCACTACTGGAAATATGTATTTTTTTCCAGGGGTCTTAACCAAATGGAAGTCAACTCCCCGAAGGGCTGTGTTTGGACGGCGAGTGTTTTCACGAAGCAAATACACCAAGGCCGTGTCGGTCACTGCGCGAAAGTTTTGGCTGGCATGGAGATCCTGAAGATAACCCTGGAATGCCATGTAGGTACGTAGAAACAACATACTTGCATTCTAAGTATCAGCATTTCACTGATTTGGAGGGTGAATGTGGGTATGCTATACCTACATGGATTGTTTTGGAACTTGTGGCGCGGGTTCCCCTTTTCAACACACTCTCAACACTTTTGAACTGTAAGCACAAGGATAGGCAAGGGGGCCAGGACCTCCCCTGAAAACCATTTTGCCATTAGTAGGTAGTTCCTATCCGGTTTTATCGGCGTATAATAGTGGGATTATAAACCTTCTTCATGACCATTCTGGCAGAACCCAACAAAAACAACGAGGTTTCGGGCGCCAACTCTACCGGAGAACGGCCGCCCAACAAGACGCCGCCCGTTAGGTGGAGCGACTGGGGTGCTTGCGACCAGTGGGGCGCCCGGCGTGAAGCTCTTCGCTCGGACAGATTTCTTGGCCTCGTGACATCCCGCCCTGTCCCCCTTGCGATCTTTGATTTGCTGAAATAAAGATGTTTTATTTTTCCCTCTACGAGTGAACACATGTGCTTTTCTCCTGGGGACTTCAGCATATGGACAGGATGGTCTTAAAGGCTGGTATGAACCCCTAGTTCATGGGGTAATTAACAGTTGAGCCACAATCAAAACCCGGGTAGATAAAGGTTAGTAAGGGGCAGTCCCAGCCAGAAATAGTTGTGGCCGCCTTTCTTATTCTTTACATGGTTCTGGGTTCACCATTTTTGTACCAGGTTTTGATTGTGACTCGGTTGGTTATGCATGCTATATTTTAGTTAAGGGACATTGGCACCGAAAGGGTCCAAAATGGGTTCATATCTGGACCTACACATGGATGTGTCGTTTAGTGGACCCCCTTCTGGCCGGAGGGACATCAAAAGGACAACCCATGGAAGGACAACTTTTTGGGGGCGAGGGATTTTCGTGACCACTTGTTGTTCAGAGACTGTCCATGAAATGCGCAAAAGCACAGCGTCGGCAGGGTCCCGCCGACCCGAAACCATGGGTTTGTTTCAGGCCCCCCAAAAAAGACGAAGCCCAACATGTAGCTCAGTGACCGCAAGGAAGCCCAGCATTCATGTCATTGTCTTCCGTATTTCTTTCTTGGTGAAACACAAGACATGTAATGTATTGGGTGAAACACAAGACATGTAATGTATTGGGTGAAACACAAGACATTATTTCATGTCATTTCTTTCTTTCTTGTAATGGGTGAAATCTTTTGTGGATGACATTCTTTTGGTAAGTCTGCAACCTCAAGGTCCTTCGGTTGCAAGAGCATCGCTGTCCTATCGCCAGGTGCGATGGTCAGATGCGGCGCTTCCGTCGTGCCAGGGGGCCGAGAGCGGGCGTTTGGGCGGGGTCCTGGGTCCAGGCTTTAAAACCGCAACAGGGCAACAGGGTTGTGTCTGAGATTTGTAATGGGTGAGTACGAGTTTCTACATGAAACGTAAAAGAAAAGAAAAGAAAGAATCAGATAACTTTACCTTCGGGCATCTGTCGCTTGGGGCGTTGAGGAATCCAATTTTGGCCAATCGACGCTGTAGGATTGAGGCAGCACGAGGGCAGATGCCTTGGCCAGATGGTCTATCTTTGAGAGCTGAATGAGCAGGTTGGTAGCATGATCAGTGGAAGTCCTTGTGCTCAGGTGTCTCTGTGCCTCACAACTGCCTAGACACTGCAATACGATAAGCCGGTTGCGTGAAGCTGGTCTCAGCTAAACGAAAGGTAGTTCTAAAATGTTGTAAAGCTCTGCCGGAAGTGATACATGTCCTATGCCCTGGATGCGGGACAGAAGCCCCCTTTTGATTACCTGCGGAAGAACATGTGAAGCCCGTGAGCAGCTGGGGCTGTGTGGCTGAACTCTGACTTCCATTTCGATGTGGGGGTTGATCAAAAGGTCCGTGATGACCATTGGATGGAAAACCACTAAACAGATGATATTTCCCGCTAAATGGGACAAGTTACCCATGGTCATTTGGGGGCCAGGAATATTGATCAACCCCCATGCGGGTTTGTCTCATTTTTGAGGTACCCTCGTCAATTACAGATTCCTCAATTCCGCACCCTCTGAGCTAGTAAATTGTTGATATTTATTGACTCCGTGTAAGGGGGGGTCAATGTTGTGGAAATGACAGGTGCTGAGTATTGAGTGTTTCCACGGGAGCCACCCGGTTGATTGAATCGACAGCTCAACCCCGCCCAAAGTTCGACCTGAATGGAAGTTGACCTCAAGGTCCATCCCCCGACCCTGGCCCCCAATATATTGTTTTTGTTGAGTTCCGGGACTCTTGTTGTGGTTTGTAAGGGAAATGGAGGTGTCTCAAAATTGGAATCAGATTTCTTGGATGGGCTAAAAGAGAAACCAAAAGGAAACCACCAACCTGGGGGGATCCCCAATTTGAAAACCCCCCCAAATGAACACCGAAATCCATTCCACAGGGCCCCCCCCCCCCCCATTTTTCACCCGCGACGACGCCTGCCCATTCGATTTTTCAGCCGGGTAGGTGCATCAGCCTGGGAAGTGCGGTGGCCACGTGTGCCTGCCGGAGGGCCCCAGCTTTTGGAGAGCCTCCAAGCCTCGGAGCCGGTCGGGCCCTGGAAAGTTTGAGGAATATCCACTCGGTTCCCCAGCGATCGGTGCACCAATTTCTCCACCAGTTCTTTTTGTTTTTGTTGGTTGGGAGGGGACACCCCTAAAATCGACTGAGAAAGGGTGCCCTTATTCTCACCTCTCTACTGGAGGACCTAGTCACTTACCTGGTCACTTACCCTCTCTCCCACTAAGCTGGCAACTCAGAGGGGGCCCCTTCAAAAGGAAATCAATCTTCCAGGTACCTCCCCACAGGTGCCGTGTTAGTTGGAGGAAGGGTACCTGGCAGCCTGGCGTCTCCTTTCCACCCGAATCAAACATGGCCGGTCATGCCCCGTTTGTATTGGGGCATGAGCAAACATTGGGCTCAGACGGAGGCTCTCGGCACTTGGCTGCGATTTGTTTGAGATGGACCCCCGTTCAAAAGTGGGTGGTGGACATAAATCCCCACCCAATGTTTTCTTTCACAACAGGGTCCCCATAAACGTTCATACCCAGTTCAGGCTTTTGACATATTGAACCTTTTAAAAGGGCCAACCAACTACACGACTGGTCAGGGTAGACATCATTTCATTCACGGGGCTCAAACAATGTACACACACACACACACTATTGCTTTATCAACATATACTAGGTCCCCCGGTAGTGCCCTTTTACCCTGTTTTGGTTGGGAGGGTTCCCCTACTAAAATAGACAAACGACAAAGTTGGTACCAACTTATTCTAACCTGGAGGACCTAGTATGTAACTTGACTCGCTTTCCAATACCTCGTTCATAGCTCTGACAATCTCAGAATTTACGCCCATGAAGTGCGCCACTTGTGTCAGTGGTGTCCCTTGTCCCTTTTTAGTTGGTGGCTTTGGAAGCCACTAAAATTGGTCTACCCCAAGAAGGTGTATTTTTTTAAAGTCACCTGGTAACTGGTTTAAACAGATGACTTACTCCCCAAGTGAACGGGAGACACCCAAAATGGAGTTTCCTTAGCCACACTCTGTTGGCTGCATCATTTGATGTTCGATCCTTCCAGAAGCAGACATTGGTTTACACTCAGTGTTGATTGCCCCAAACTCCAAACAAACACGCGCCAGCATAAATACATGTGTTTGGTTGGGGGGAAGCTGGGGGTAGTTCAGAAACGTGGCCTACCATGAACAGGTATACCCGACTCACCCTGGCTGCATCCTACTCAAATGGTAGTATCCTAAGTTACTATGCTCCCCTGGTTCTAAGTGCCCAACCGGGATAGCACCTTTGGAAGCACTAAGCTGATCTTCCATTTGCTGAAGCCGATCCCATCATTTTTTCTTTTGACGGGGATCTATCGCTGGCCATGTGTTCTCCCATTTTTTCTTGGGAGAACATCCAGGCCATTTTCAGGAGACACGCAGGTTGTATACCACATATACATATCTCACTTCCTGAGTTCATGAACTTTAAACTTTTGGGGAAGACCATTTTAGTGGTAAATAAAAAAGTTCAGACTTTTTTGGCCAATCAACTTGGGAAGTGAGATATACAAGGGGTATATACTGCGCTAGAATCTTATATTTGCAGAGACGCATCCATACCCTGAAGCCGCATGCCTGAAATTCCCTTGAGGAGGAACTCCAAGATGGTTTCACTAGCCCCAAACCAGAATGGCATATACAACCACCATATAGCCACCATATATCAAGGAAATATATATATATATATATATATATATTTATTTATTTATAATATACACATATTCCCAGTTTTCTCATGGGAAAAGTTGCTTTGGGGTGGGGGGGGTTAGTAGAAACCACTTGGGTGTTCGGCCAAGTTAACAAGCTGTTGGTAACCTACGTTATAACCCATTTATAGGTCCCCCGTTCAGTGGGGTTAACCTGGTTAGGGGGTTATAACCCAGGTGGCCAACCACTTGCTACTAACGACGACTTTTCGACCCGTCCGAACGTCCGAAGGCCTGGTGCTTCGGAGCAGACTGAGAAGTGCCCCAGGTTCTGCGGGGTCCCAATATCCGCGTCCAAGCCGACACTTCCGAACCTGGCGGTCGAACTGAGTTGGGTGGATCTGTGTCCACTATTTTGGACGGTGTTCCAGCCGCTAGCGCTTATCCCTAGGAGCCCAAGACCTCATTATTTGAGGGTCAAGGCCCCCATATTCAGGGTCCAAGGGGGTTTTTGAGGGTATGCTGAACTCAAAATGTTGCATGAAGTACCATAACACTCACAAGCCAGGGCTGAATTTTCAGGTTGAGCAACTATGGTTGGCTCGTCGTTTTCACTGCATAGGTGTCCTTTTTTGAGTTAGATTGGTTTAGATGGGTTTCATTCCATTTACCAGGGCCATCTATTTTTTCCAAAGGTCACCTATGATGTGCAGTGCTCTTGGTCCTTGGTGGGTTTGCTTTTTGAAGCCAAATGGGGCAGGCACCCCACGTTCAACCGAACCAAACCAGGCCCCAGGTCAGATCCTGAAAACATGAAACCCAACAGTGGCTACTGGAACCAGGCAAACCCATGGCCAAACATAGGGGGCCCTATTCACGTCCGTGGAAGATTGGGTTAAGGGCCATTCTTGGGGTAAAGCCTTGCAAGTGATAAACTCACTGCAGCCGTTGGACTTTTCGGAATACTGTTTTGGCGGTAAGCAAAGAGTTTGAAGCTTTCTGCCAATCCACTCAGAAAGTTTAGTAAACAAGTCGTGGGTCTGACAATCCCATCTTGGCCCCATGGTGTCGCAGCGAGGCGTGAATTCTCCACGAGCATGTCCGTGTCTCCAGCAAAGATTCTAGATGATTGGCCATTCATTCCAGCTTGCACATTCAACTCATTCAACATGCTCGCATCCGCTGGCACTTTGCTCAAGACTTATTTTGCCTCCCAGCTGCGTATTTGGTTGTTCCTTTCGCAAGAGGAAGACGACCTCACGTTGGTTTGCGACTTTGGGCCCCATGACAGTTCCATTGGCAAGTTCGGCGTTGTTGTTGTATTTATTGGTGGAACATGATTCACCCAGAGATGCCTTGAGCTGACACATGCTCAAGATCCAGATTTTGTGATTCACAAAGCGAGGGTTTGTTTCCAAGCAGACCAACCTAATCAAACTGAATCATCAAGACCAGCTGACAACAACAATGAGCACAATTCCAGAACCAAGCACTCGAGCCATTTGGGCTTGTCTAAACTCGATTGCTCAGCCCAACCCCCCAAGAGAGTACCAACTCCAAGGAGTCTCGCCCACGCTTGATTTGGCCATGGGTCAAAATCCCGTACCCCGAGTGATCCCCAGTAAAATAGAGTAAAATGGGTGGTGCACCTACCAACCAAAATGGGATCCCATTGGTTTTGACCCACAGCCATTTCTCGAGCCCTAGCTTCACCCCGCAGATTGTTTCGCTTGATCCGTGGGGGGTTTCTGCGGTTTTCTCCGCACCTTTCGCTGAGCCCAATGGATGCAGTGATCGCAGACTTTCAACAGCAGCTGGAGAGGCAACATCGCGTAGCCGCCTGACAATATTGAACCCCGGGGACACCTTGGATGTTCCACCAACCTAATACATGGTTGTCGTTGGGAAACATTTGAATCATTTTTGCTTATTGTGGTTTAGTGGGAAATCCCCACTTAACTGCTAAAATTTAAATTGTTGCTCCCCTTCCAACGTCAACCAAGAATATGTAGGTTATAACCATGGTCATTAGTGGGGTAGTGTAACTGGGCGTCTCCTTGTGGATATGTTATAACCTAATTACGATGTTCGTTGACCATCCAAGTAAGCGATGGGAGGGTGCGGGACCTCACTTTCAGGGTTTTGATTTGAGGCCTGCCCCATAGTTGCGCTTTGGGACTTTAGACATCACCTTGTTGGCCAATGGAAGGTGAGTTCCCCTTAGCTCCGGGTGATTTTGAAAAAGGGGAAACATACTGTTGATGGAAAACATCCTGCACCATTTTGAACAAATGGCAAGCCATGGTTTGTTGGTATTTGCAGAGGAATGTTCCAGGGTTTCTGAGGTGGTGCAGGATTTTGTCCATCCACAGTAGGTGTTTCTCGCAGTGCGAGTTCACGAAAATGTGTGGTTTCCTGTTGGTTTCCCTTTTAAAATCCAACAAAACGGGGTTCACTGTTTCGAGAAACTCCCGGCTAGGAAATTGTGTTGGGAGGTTTGGCTTTGAGGTCCCGCGCCAGCGTGCAAAGACTTCTGGTGCCTTTCTGGATGTTTTTTTGCACTTTAAGGTTTACTGAATGGACCAGAATCAATCACATGTTCCTGGGTTCATGGGCCAAAGCTGAAGTAAGTCTGCTTGGGAAGGGGCAGGATAAGGAGGTGAACATTCAAGGGATGTAGGTGGTGTATTCGCACTGTGACTCACCGACCATGACTTTTTTTGGGTACACGGACGAAGCCCTCAATTTCATGGGGGGTCCCCCCAATTCCATTTATCTAGTATTCCCATAAAACCATAAATGAAATGCCCAGTAGGGTCATGTTGGTCGGTTCTACCTTTTGTCTCGGGGTGTACAGTAAAGCCTTCACAAGGTTCTCAAAAGGGTAAAACAACCAATTCTAATGTCCCATTCTAAACTTATAAACATATTGGACCCAAACAATCAATGGGTGAACCGACCTTTTAAGCTTTTGCTTTTCTCGGATTGGTCAATGTCCCAACAGGTGATCACTGATCACGCTTTGTTCTCAGGTCCTTTGAACCCGTGAGGATGCACGTCTTTATGACTATTTGGTTGGATCTTTTAGCTTTTTGGGAGACGTGGATGTTCCATTGGACCCACAAGACACACTTTTTGGAGGGATCAACAGCAACCAAGCAGTGAGGATGCACATTCACATCCAACTTGCGTAGCTTGACTCGACGATAACTAACTCTTTAATGTGAGCGAGTTGAATAATCTATGTGCGTAGGCAAGTATCTCCACGCTGCATGTTATTGAGCGGATTCGCGCCACAGCATATGAGGGAAAGCATGTTTAAAATTTAACCCCCCCCCCCAAAAAAAAAAAAAGGATTTGGGGCAGGGTGGTGACCCCTGAATATCTCCATTTGTGCCACAACCAAAAACCCGGCTAGATAAAGCTTAGTAAAGGACGATCCCAACCATAAATAGCTGCGGATATCCGCCTTCTTAATTCCTTTTGATACTCATAGGGAAACCATGCAAAAAACAATCCACCTCCTTAAAATGGAATTGGGGGAGGGCGGTGACCCCTGGAGATCTCCATTTGTGGTTCCATTTTCCGTTTTTGTGGTGAAGACTGGAACATTTTAATTGGATCCCGGACCCGTGCAAAACGCTTCGCATCACCTGACCCCAGGTTGAAGAGAGACACACAGATCTTTGGCAGCAGCTTCTTGGCAGCAAAAAGCCATAATCATAGACGTCCTTTCTAGGTTGGTTTGGTTGACAAACAAATGGCCCGGGTTTAATGTTGATTAGAATTATCTACCAGTACAATATATTTTTACAAAAGGACCCCTATGGCCATAATGTTTATATGGAGAACCACAGACTCCATCGGATGGACTCATGTCGAGCTCGCACGTGGCCGCTCCACAGATCCGGGCAATATATTTCGGGTCTGGAGAGACTAGGAAGATGCCCAGCCCTATCTTTCTTTGCGACACTTGCAACGTATCGGGGCTGACTGAGCAGCTTCTTACTTTGCCAAACCCCAAGCAGAGAACCAACATGGCTGGGGCCGGATTCTCAAATCCAATGTCAGGTTGGTTGTCATGTTATGATTGGTATCCAGTTGTTCAGTGGAGTCCACCCTCGAGCGCGTTTTGTGTGGTGGGTGCCCCGCTATGTTTCCATATATCGGGTCACCCTTGAACACCATGCACACACCATGGTAAAAATCACTCGAACTTGGAGCACCGCGTAAACCTGTCAGTTGTTTGTTCACGAAGCCCAATGAAGAAAGGCATTCCATGAGCTTGAAATGTGCATGACGATTTCCCTTTGCTCGCCAGTTCGTTATTCTCATTTGTGAACTGGAGGAGTTTGCCCGGATATATCCCCCCATATCCCCCTATCCGCCTTGAAGTTTTGATGGGACCCCGCCCCCACAAAAAGAAAACACACTTGTCTATCCACTGATTTTCCATTGGCACCACCTAAGAAAAAGATGAGCTAAAGCACAGAGGGCGTCGGTTTCCTACGTAAATGTGTGAATCATAGTCAGCTGTTCTTATTTCCTTCCAACGTTCCTAGCATCTAAGTCCTTATTGATTTCCTCAAGGTATGGATTTCGGGGGTTCACTTCCGAAGGACTACCTTCTTGGGTGTTCAGCCAACGTCAGGCAAGCACGTTATAACCATGGTAAGGAGACTAATTTGAGTTCCCCCACTTACCATGGTTACAACCTGCTGAAGTTGGCTGAACATGGGAAATCAAATGTGGAACCATTCCCAACTACGGACCTGTCATAGCCTTTCACCTTTCTGCTCAAAGAATTAAATGACATGTATGAATTTCAGTTGGTTGGTGGACATGAATCCCACCCAAATGATGTCCAATAGCTGGGCCTCGTTTAAATTTCGCACATTTGGAACCCACTGGGTCATAAAAGGAAGCTTGCAGGGCTCCCCAGTCAGTTGGTGAAGGGAACTACCTTCACCCTTCTGGAATCCATTCAGATTGGCACAAGTACCTTTGAAGACCTTGAAGTCGAAGAAAGCTTCACGCCAACTTCCTATCTACCTTGTACCGAGACTTGGGCGCTCAGGACCTTTCTATCCTAACCCAGTGCTTCCAGTTGCCACCACAGGTAACCCTTCGTGTCGCTACCTATAGGTTTTACATCATGGTTTCCCCTATTTGTCCACTCTGATGGGCTCTAAAGACCCCTATACAGACCCACGGTTTCTCCAAAGGCCGCATATTACCTCTACAGTCAAGTCGTTTTTGAGCGAGCCACTTGAGTGGCTGAACCAGGGGCAATTATCAACCACTAGAAAAATGTCACCAGCATCTTCAGGAAGTTATATAGGCTTCAACACCCACCTAGAAATGTGTTGCTAGGTGTCCTGGAGTTTTTTTTTCTCCTGCTTTCTCTGATCACCGCGTCTGTCATTTCGCAGTTAGTTGAGCTGTGGGATTTGCCCTGCAACCTACTTTTGGGGCTTTAAGGGATCAGCATCAGCCACCAAGACGCCAGCTCTAGGAACATAGGCATTTGGCCAGGATGCCTTACCTTTCCCGCTTCGGATATGTGTTTATTTCCATATGCATATGCAATAGGGAACCTTTTCAGAAGTGGTAGATGGTAAATTCCCTTGCGGGGGTGTCTTGTTTTGAGGGCACGCCTTTTTTCGTGGGTTTGAAAAGGAAACCAGGAGCAAAACCGAAAACATGTCGGTGGGTCCCCTAGGAAAAGACCTACCCTAAATGATGTCCAACCACCTGGACCCTCAAAGGATCCACCCACAAAAGGCCTAAGAAGTGTTTTTTTCTGGGGTCCTACCCTCCAGCCACCCCCCCCACAACCGCCTTTTTTTCTAGTCCAAAAGCCCCGAGTTGCTTTTTCCCCTAGTCCCAACTGCTTTTTTCCCCTAGGCCCTGTTCCCACCGAAAGGCCGTGGTGGCTGGGACCTTTTTTTTGGGGGGGTCCCCGCCAAAAAATAGACTACAGAAAAACAGTGGGTACCCTTATTCTAACCTCTCTACTGTGTTGGACACTCCCGAGTGTCCCACCCAAAAGGGCCGTGGTGCTTGGGACATCATCCGCTGGTGGGGTCGCCTCAGCGCCGCGGCTCGCCACGCGTCGCGCCGCGCGCCGTCGCAGGCTGCGGCGCCATCACCTGGAGGCGCTGCAGCGGCTGGAGGCGGAGAACGCGGCGCTGCGCGCGCAGCGGGGGCGCCCGGAGCGGGGGAGGCGTGAGGCGCGATGGGAGTGGAGGTTTTGAGTTGTTTTTTGGTTTGGAGGAGTTACTTTGGAGGTTTGAGGGTTTGTGCTTTATGGTTTGGAGGAGTTGTTTGGTGGAGCTTCATTTTTTGGAGGAGTTGTTTCATTTTAGGGGGTGGTAGGGGGGGAGGGTAGGGTGCTAGGGGGGTAGTTTTTATGGTTGAGGCGTGAGTCGGACGCGGAGGAGATGGGATTGGTTTTTGTTTTTCTCCCGGTAGCGAAATCGATTCCCCTTTAATAACAAAAAGCACATTTCAGCTCAAATGGAAGCATATCATCCATGAGGCTTTCCACTTCTCCTTGATTTTCCCTGTGGCATATCGACATGGGACTAACTTTCTTGCTGGTGCGATAGACAGGGAATGAGTTGCATGGAATGACAAGAAAAACCATCCCCGAGTTGGTTTCCTCTTTTTTCAAGGGAACTTTCAGGTTCATCCCAACTGAATCCCTGCTCGCAGCAGCAAGTTCTTTCGGGGGTACCTTCCCCAATGCAACTAAAAGAGCCAACTAGACATGTCGTCCCAGAAACCAGGGAAACCAGGTTGCAAAATGCAGAGCCAACTAGAAGTGTTATCCCAGAAACCATGAAAACCAGAACCAACTGGAAGTGTTGCAAAATGCCGCTGGGTAGCGTTTTTTTGTTGCTCCTCCATTACATATGTAAAGGCGCGGAAATGATTCTTTATTCTGGTCGAATAATTTCACATTAGAAGGAAATACAAAGCACTACTCATTTGGAAGTTTTGTTTTGGGACCTCAAGTGGCGATCTCAGTGGAGATCTCCAGGAAGCTGATCCACCTTGGACCATTGCAACTCGAGTGGCCCCATGGTGTTTTATCCGGGAGGAATCCACACCCACGTCGTTTTGTGGCTCAAAACCCTGTACCAAAAAGGCACCTTGGTAAAAGGAACCAAAGACTATCATTTGCATAGCCCTAGCTCTTTAATTTTGAGCCACACCCACATGTTTTCTAGATCTACTCAAAGAGAAACCAAAAGGCTATTGTTGGTTTTTAAGGGGCGCTCCTGTAGAAGAAGGACACATTTTAGCCATGGATAAACCAGGGTGACCAGCTGGTTTTCGGCAAAGAGCCCAAGGCTTCCCTTCGGCCTTTTTCGTGGCTTTGTTTTGTTTGGAGTGAGGGAGGCAAAGCGAGGAAACGTAGGGGCGCTGTGTCCTAGCCGGAACGCCAAGGAGTCTCCCAGCATGGTTGGCTTCGCATGTCAGGTTGGTCACCTTCAACAACACCTGCAGGGAATCTCATGCTGGCTCCCTCAAAAGAACGAGTTGTCTTCCAAACGGGTTCCGTTTCATTTTGACTCTCAAGCATCTTGGAACCAGTATGTACAGCGTTTGAAGCCGAGCTCACCTTGGGCTAACCCAGATTCCTTAGGGATGCCTTATTTCCGCCGACTCACTTCGCTAGCAAAAAAGACTTCAACCATTTGGGAGGAGCGTTTTAGTGGTGAACTAAAGATTGAACACCCACCTGGGATGTGAGGGTCATACTGTGGATGGACGAATTCCTGCACCACCTGAGAAACCCTGGAATGTTGATTCCCCTGTAAATACCAACAAACAATGGTGTCTCATGGTTGCTTAGGTGGTGCAGGATTTTGTCCATCCACAGTAGTAATCTACCCAGATCTCTGTTAATCTCCCAGGCTGGCGGCGCAGAAATGCGCATCTTGCTGCGAGGCCCAAGGGTTTAGGGGGCTACAAGGTAACAGGGTCTTTGGGTCTGGCGTCAGCTAGCACGTGGACACCCAGTTGCGGCGCACCAATTTTGCGAGGAAATCGTGCGAACTATACCTATCGGTTGGGTTGGCCAACTGATTGTTACTCGCTATTTGCCTGTATTGAATGCTGCTTCCTTGACGAACATGGAACAACTTTTAGATTTCTGCACTGGTGTGTGTGTGTGTGTGTTTTTTGAAAGACCATTTTAGTGGTCCACACAGTGTTGAGATGTTTGTTGGCCAATCCACCCAGTAGTCCATTGACACGGAACACCCTGAAATGACAGGTTCCATGTTAGTTTACAGGAGGGTACCGCCAACCAACATCAACGAAATGCTCTGTGATCCCAATGGGATACCAATGCTTGAATGTAATAAGACAATCATGGGAGTCAACAACCGTGGTACCGTGGATGGCCGAAATCCATTTCGCACCACCGAAGCAACCCTGGAGTGATTTGATTCCCCTGTAAATACCAAGCAACCATGGTTTCAACAATGGTTTCATTTCGTGGTGCGACAAATGGTTTTCGCCACCATCCACAGTATGATTCCTCTTTCTCAACATCGCCCAGAGCTAAGGGGAACTCACCTTACATTGGCCAACAAGGTGATGCCTAAAACCCGCACTCCATGGTCCCAAAGCAACTCCTAAGAGCAGACTCCATGGTTTCCCATGGTTTGCTTTCGTGGTGTGAGACATGGATTTCGCCACCCACAGCACCGCAAGGGCCGTTATCCGGCCGGCCAGGCACACGAGGAGAAGCCCAGCGCCGGCGAGCTCAGTCTTACGGTGGATCCGCCCTGCGTCGTGCCAGGCGAGAAGAACTGGTGGACACAGGGGCCACAAGGGGATCACCATTAGCAGACAAGCCATGTAGGTAATATATGCATACATATATATATATATATATGTATACACTAATAGATCCATACCCAGATTTACCCTCCAAATGGGTCAAATGTTGGCATACATTATGCCTACATGGTTTGTCTGGGATCTGAGCAACCCCTCCCACCAGTTCCAAACCAGGGCCCCCCGAACGTCAGGTTCCATGTTCATTGGTGGGAGGGTACCCACATTTACCCTCCAAATAAGTCAAATGTTGGGTTTGTTTGGGATCCTACATGGTTTAGTACCTAGATCTGTCCTGGATCTGAACCACTAGCCCGAAAAAAAGCGGCGCGGACAGCCGCCCTTCGGATTTTGTCCAAGTTCCAATCAGTGTTGATTGTGAATGATTTGCTTGAGGGGGTTCTTCTTCTTTGCTGCTTGCTGCCAAACGACCCGTTTGTACCTGGAAGATCAGTTTCCTCTTATAGGAACCCCCTGATAAGTGCTATGCTAGTGGGAGGCCGGGTAACTTGTCCAATGTCGTGGCAATAGCACACTGAAAGGAAGCCACGACAGGCCTTTTCGATTTTTGGCGCCAGAAAACCCGAGGGTTTGAGACAGTTTCTAAATCCCCCAGCTAGGTGCCCTGTCTCACCGTCTTTTTTGGGTTGGCAGGGTTCCCCTACAAAAAATAGACGACAGAAACAAGTTGGTACTCTTATTCTAACCGCTCTACGGGGGGACCTAGGTTTCCCTCAAATGAAGTGGTCAATAGACCCGTTTGGAGAATGTTGAAGGGACGTCAATCGGGGAACCCGAAAAATCAAGGGGTGTCCCTTTCGATTTCCCAACCCCAAGACGGGGATAGCATTCCCAGTGGATCCCAGCCAACCCACTACAGCAGGCATCCAGCTGGTGCCCTTGGCTACAAGCCCAGGCAACTGGATCCACTGTGACTCACAAAATGCACAAAGAGGTCCAGGCTGGTTCCCTCCTAAACTGTTACATGGATTCACTGCTACCCACGTACAGGCAAATGGATCCAGACTGGGACTCACAAATACCCTCCCAAACTTCGAACTGGATTCCTTACCCATGCACTATGCAGGCAAATGGATCCACCGGGACTCACAAAATAAAACAAAATGGTCTTCGTTAGGGAACCAAGTCACAAAAATAATTACCCATGCCGGAGCTTCGTCGCGTTTTTTTTTTCTCCGACGGAGCGCGGTGTTCCGGTCGGTTTCAGAAGCTGTGGACGGCACCTTTTCGGCCTGGAGCTCTGCGTTGTGCAGCCCCCCGGTGCAGCTCCGCATCATCGCCGACGACGTGTCCATGACCCTCACGGTGCACAAGGCCGAGAAACCGCCGAGAACCGCCGATCTGTGAACGCCGCGTGGGGTTCCGAAAGGCTAGTCAGTCGGGACTTAGGCGGTCATTTGTTTTAGCGTGTTGAAGTGCAGTTGTGTTGTTTGTTTGTTTGTTTGTTTGTTTGTTTGTTTGTTTGTTTGGTTGGTTGGTTGCTTGCTTGCTTGCTTGTTTGTTTGCTTGTTTGTTTGTTTGTTCGTTTGCGTGTGTGTGTGTGTCTCAGTGTGTGTGTGTGTGTGTGGTTGGTATTGAGGGGGAAAGCCTGAAGCTCCGAATATTCATTGAATAGGGTTCGATTTCGTGTCAGGGTTGAATCTTGGATTCCACTTGATTTCTGCCCATCGCATAGTTCTGGATTCCACTTTTCTGCCCATTTCCACTTGAATCTTGGATTACACGAATCCATAGTTCTGCCTGCTTGATGGTTTCAGGGAGTTGGGAGCAAAGCGAGCAAACTCCATGATGTCGGCTTTTCGGTTTCGGGCAACCCTGTTTTTTCTGTGGGTAAATGGGCAAACAAACCACCCGCGGAACACAGCCACAGGGCTTGAAAGCACCAATCAGAGGGAAGCTTATTATTTGTTCAGGTGTTGTAATGGTAAAGCTTGCAGATCGGATAGCCACAATCAAAACTCATCCGGGTTGGTTTGGGGTCAGCAGGAATTGCAAATATGTACCGTTCGGGGTAGACCCCTTTACATGGTTGTTGTTGGGAAGCATTTTACATGTTTGTTTGTTGTGGTTTAGTGGGAACTCCCCACTTAACTGCTGAATTTTATGTTTTTGCTCGCCTTCCAACGTCAACCACGTTTGCTGCCAGCTTTTGAGTTTGACTTATGTTGAGTGGGCGGTCCCAAGACTACCCGGTGGGGCACGTATGAACAAGCTGCCTGCAATCTGGGAATCACTTCCCCCAGAAGCGTCACCCCCCCCCCCCCCCCGCACCTGCCAAACAAATAGGCAGAACTATGCAAGCGTAATCCAAGATTTATCCACCCTGACACGAAATCGACCCCTATTCAGTTAATATTCGGAGCAGCTTCAGGCTTTCCCCGTCAATACCAACCACACACACACACACTCACACACACACACAGCAAACCAACAACGCTCGGATGTTCATCTTTCGTTTTCACTATTAGGCAGACATGTATTAATGGAAAACACAGTGATTGGAAGACAACCTCAGTGAGGAAACATGCCCGAGTTTGCGCTGTGGCCTTGCCCAAATCTTGTTACCTCAAGAGCTTGAGGTCCGAAACGGTCTGCGCGACTTGGTTTTCCTCCATCGGTTGTTTGTTATGTACCTCCCATGGGGCTGGGATTTTTTCTCAATCCTGCGAAGCAACATCCTCACAGCCCCAACTAAATGACAGCTTGGCGACCCTCAAAATAAGCCTTGAGAACCTCCTGCGAGAACTTCCGCATTCTTTCCACGGTGTACCTTGTTTCCCGGATCAACAATACGCGGGAATAAAAACCAAGGGCCCATGTGTGGAGGATCGAACGATAACTGCCATGTTGCCACAATGTCCCTCCATGTTTTTTTGGTCCAAGTACCTCATATGTGCGGAAGTTGTGAAATCTATATTGACGAATCCCCAAGACCAGATCTAACTCGGGACCCGTAGCTTTTGGGCCCCTCTGGAACCGATCCACCGACACTCAAAGGGGCGTCCTCCGCGTGCGGAAAGTTTCGGATCGATCGATCGGTCGCTAGGCGGTGCTCCAAAGATCTCCTTACTTTCAAGCGCGACTGGCAGAGCACTGGATGCGAGAGTCCGCCGGTAGCTTGGCGAGCACAACCGATCCTAGGTCCCCCAGTAGTGCTCTTTCTCACTGTTTTTTGGTTGGGAGGGTTCAACCCTACTAAAATAGACTACAGAAAAACGGGTACCCTTATTCTAACCTCTCTACTGGAGGACCTAGGATCGGCGTCAGCGTTGCCGGCGACACCGCTTTACGCCGCATCCCGCCGTCGTTTGACAGTTGGGGCACGGGAGGGGGTACTTTTGAGAAGTGATGGGATAGACCGAATAGAAACATGCTGGTTGAATCAGGCGTGACCCAGTTTAGATTGCATCAGCATTTTTTGAGCGGCCGGTGACGCTTCATTTCGCGGCGTTGTGGGTCTCGTGCATGACAGTTTCTCATATGGGTGTGTCTTTTAGGGACCCCCCAACAAAAACAAAAAAAGAAGGTTGCTGGAATCTCCATGTCCGAAATACAAATGGGTCAATGACCAACCATTATTTGGGGTAATGACCAACCATTTTTTAAGGGTCAGAAGGAGACTCCAGGTTCCTTTTAAACCCCTCACAAAAGGGGCACCGGCAATGCATTCGGGTTCTCGGAAGGCTGCGGGGAAATTATGTTGTTTTTTTTGTTTTTTCTGAACCCGCACGTTTTGCAGGCTGGCTCCGAGCTCCCCCATTTCAGCCACTTTCAGCCGCTCAAACCCGGGAATACCCACAGACCCACCTTTGTCCCAATCCAAACCGGGCAAGCATGACGATGTTTATCCCAGATCAGTTGCGCCGCGTTTTTTTGTTGGAGACCTCCTTGTTCAACTCAAGCGCGCGCCAACCACGGGCCGTTTTTTGTTGGTGTCCAAGGGAGCTCTGGGTTTTTATGTCCAAATCGAAACCCTTCGGTTGATATTTTGCTGGGCGGTGTGGAGTGCTGTGTGTGGTGTTTGTGTGTGTGTGTGTGTTGCTGTGTGTGGGTGTTGGTGGCTTGATGGCCACTATACACCTCATTTTCCAAGTCACGATCTCAAGAATATATTTGCCATTAGTTTCTACAGGTTTGGTCTGTTCATTAAGGCACGGCAACTTGGATGGGATGATGGGGTACTTCAAAACTACATTAACTTACAATACCAAGACAATAATGTTTAGACACTTGATCCAGTGTTCATTTCCCTGTCTCCAGCTTTGGGTAACCCTTCGTCATTGTTCCTTTTGGCTTTTACTATCAGGAAGCTCCCTTGGTGCCTACAGCTCACTTCCTGATAGGCTAGAACTGGTCCAAGCCTTCAATTTCCCAGAAGGTCCCTTGGTACCTCGTATTTTCGCGGATTTCAGGAATCTGCAATTGACAAATCCCCTTGAACCCAAACTGAGAACCGTAAAAATGGGGTACCAAGGGACCCTCTGTGTTCGAGGGAACTGGGCACCACTGAGCCCTCGAGAACTCCCAGAACATTTGTGCGTGCACTTGAAAGGTCCAAACAGCTTACAGCTTCAGGTGCATGGCTTCAACTTCAGCCCTGGTAGCCTTCGACCCCCCCCAAAAAACAACAAAGGAAAACCAAGAAAAAAGAGTTCCAGGTCCCCAACATTTCAACTTCAGCCCAGGTAGCCTTCGACCCCAAAAAAGACGAAACAACCCGTTCCCCTGGTCCCAAATGGAACATCATCTTCAGCGGTGAGGTTTGCTGCCGCTGCGCTTGCCCCCGGGCTGTCCGGCCTCGGCCGCCAGCCTGGTCTTCAGACATCTCTATGTCCAGGAGCGGTTTGTTTTTTCGGTCGCGAAGATGCCGGCGTGGGGTTTTTTGCAACTTCAGTGGGTTGTGAACTTAGCAAGTGATGGGTTAAACATAAGTCACTACTTAAACAGGTTATAACCTTATGAGTCAGGGGTCAGTCATAACCAGGTTGTAACCTAAGCAAGTGATGGGTCAGACACGAGTCAGTAGGCTGGAATCCTTGAATTATGAATAGAGCGCCATCGCACTCACCACTCACTGAATGTTGACCCCGGGTTTGTTTACGCTGTCCTTTTTGGGGGGTGTTATGGGGCATTATCTCCAACAGTGGTCTGAATCCAACCACTAAAAGGGGACAGCCCCCAATCAAAACCAACCAGGGGTAAATGGATCTGGGGTCAGCAGTACCAAGCCGGTTGAGTACCCGCGTGGCCATGTGTGGTCAAGAGCGGCCTCACGGAAGCGAATCCGTTCATGTCCATCCGATCCGTTTCCAACCAAAAAGGTATGGACTCGGGGCATTGACGCGTGGAGCTCGGGGGTCGGAGCCTCGTTTCAGCGGAAAGCCCCGGGGAAAAGCCTCCCGCCGGTCGGACGCCATGCCTGAGAAACCCGTTTCTCGGAACATCCTGGACCTGCAAAGGACCCCTTTTTTCTGCCTTTGACCCAAAACAAAAGGTTAAAGGCAGGAAAAAAGGGGTCCTTTGGGGGTCCAGGATGTTTTGAGAAACGAATGGGGAATCACCCCGGGGTGTTCAACCGACTTCCGACGGGGGAGGGGTTCAACCACCAGGCAATTTTTCATGATTCTACACACCGCCCAGCAGTCAACCACTTGTCGCCGTGCTCCTACCTGCGCCGCGCAAACCTGAAAGCCGCAGTGCGAGCCATAAACACGCCTTGGCGCTTCTATGCCCGGTGCTAGGCCCAGAGGTAGACATACCGAAGGGTTACTTACTGGCGCGCCTGGAAGCACTAGTGATGATGGGTAGACTACTTTGCCGATTCATTTGGACTATGTCGCCTCGCTTGCAACCAATGTGCCGGAGATCCAACCCTGTCGACTCTCAGTGGGTCCCAAACGCTACCCCACAGAAAACGGGCTTGGCTTTGATGAAAGCGGGGATTCCTGAACTCCTGCGACAGTGTAAGGTACCTACCTCTTTTCTCTAGGACCCTTGAGGGGAGTCGTTCCGAGACCTCCAAAAGCGGTATCCATCTGTGTGGTTGGCCCATTGTAAGCCCGTTGATACATGCGTCAATGGCGGTCCACGCTGTAAAAGTCGGATCCGGATCTTAGTTTTTTGGGCGTTAGGATGGGAAGGTTCCGGTTTCATGCAACATGGGTCTACTCATCTAGGCGGGATCGGTGGAGGGATGGGAAGTCCGGGTTCCCCAAGCCCCTGATCGGCTCTCAATTTCTTGAAGGTTCCTTGTATCACACCGCGGGACACTCGCGGGGGTGAATTTCCACCTTCTTGGCTGTTTTTCTTGGTACCGGGGTTTGCACGTGGGTATACTTTTGGGTGCAATCATGGCAAATTCGTCGTCACTCGAAGTAGCGTGCTTGCCTTACGGGCTCAGAGTAGGGGTTTGAGATCTTCCATCTCACCTTTTAGGTGAAGCGAGTTTGCTGTGAGAAGGGCTTGAAGGGGCTTGCAGATTGCAGCAAAACGGGCCAACTGGGAGTTGTTTTTGAAGATCCAACAACAGGGGTGGTTACTAGGTACAGTGGACAACCAAAAGGATTGGAGGTGTCGGGACCTCATACCCCACTACCTACTTAGTTACTTGTCGCTGGCTTCTATGAGCAAAAGAGGACACACCCAAGTCATGCTTGTGGAAACTACGGACTCGTAAACTTTCTTGTGATACCCAAAAGATCATCAAAGTGACAAAATGGTGGGGACGACCCATATTGGTCTCACAGATTTAGGGTGAGTTTCCATCACCGATGGAATTTGGCTATTTGGCAGGGAACCAGCTCAGTTGGTGGACATGAATCCCCGCCTGAATGATGTCCAAAAGAGGACCCCATGAAACAGGACACGGTGGTATCCCCGAAAATTTATGGTGCCTATATCGACCCTGCAACTTTCAGCTGTTGGGGGGAGGAAGGGGAAGGACCCACCCGTGTGGGTGTGTGTTTTTGTTTGAGAGGGTCCCATGGTTTTGGTTTTAAGTGGAAACCAAGGGGAAAGCCGCCAGCATTTTGGTGAGTCCGACACCCATGTCCGGCCAGGAGAAGAGCACTCCCGGAGGCCTTGCGAGGACTCGCTTTCGCAAACTGAACTTTCAAGTCTTCGGATATTTGGTATTGGTCTGGGTTAATTATAACGACCTCACACGACCGGATTCACCCCAAATGGTGGTTTATGTAAGGAATAGCCCCCCGACCACCGCAAGTTTCAGGTTGGTGAAAATTTCTACTTCACCCAGATTGGTCCAACTTGAGCCGGACTGACCAGTTCCAGTGCTTGTTTCCATTTACCAGGTTCTATGTTGGGTACCGAGGTTTGACCCACACCCAGGTTTTACCAAAACTCATCCTTTGAGGGATCTAAACCGTGACAGCTGCTTGAACTGGGAGGACCTCAAACATGATCAAGCGGCTACCCGGCTTACCCTCAACAAAAGACACACCCAACTTCCTTCTGGCTACCCAAGGGGAGGGGTTGTTCAAGCAAGTTTGCCCAACCTTGTTCATATGTTCCCTACATGGCAGTTGCTTCCCGCCGTGCAAGTTGTCCATTTGGGCCTCTCCTTTTTGTTGGCTGGAACAAAGGGTAACCAAAACAAAGCGCCACGATGTTGTTTCCCCTCGAGCACTGCTGATGCCATGATGTGATCCTTGCTATCTTTTGCCCGCAGTTGCCCTGCCTTTGCTGTGTTTGTTTTGTTGCCCGTTTGACACAACACGTGCAAATAGCGTCCCACCCGTACCTGGCTAGTTTCTGACGTTGTCTCCGTTGTCTACAAACAAAAACAGCCGCCGCCCTGAACTATGTCTCTCATGGCTCCACTCGAGCTCCGGGGTAATTGCCCAAATTGGCTCCAAGTGGATATGGCGGATTCCTCGATTGCCAGCCAACCGACCACGCGCATAAATCGCAGCTTGCTGGTTCGCTCCTTGTACCCAACCGGAGCTGCATCCCCGACCCGGGGATGCCTGACCAGCACCTCCAGAGTATTTGTTGCCGCTTTCCGCACGCCGAAGGAGCGGGCTGTGTGTCAGATCTGCAAAAAAATATCACAACTCTCGGTGAGTTTGGAAGCCCAAGCAACCACGAAACCAACCTAAAGTCCGGAGCCGGAGAGCTGGGAACCAGGAAAGTGAGATATTGAGAGCTGCTTCACATGACAGGTTTGGAGGAGAACAGGACCACTCATGTTCAAAGTCTCACCCTTCGAAAAAAAAAAGAAACGCTTCTCCCAGCCATGGCTCCACCAACTGATACCTGGAGTCTCCATGACCTTAAAAAATTGGGTCAATGACCAACCAATATGTTGGGTTTTCGGACCAACCATTGTTTAAGGGTCAGATTTGGAGACTCCAGGTACGAACCTCCCCCCGCCTGGCGCCTTGCCGCCTTCGGCGCGCCTGTCGCGCGAGGAGCGGCGCCCAGCTGCGGCTGGGCGACGCCACCGTGGCCATCGGCGCGCAGCAGCTCGCGGAGATGCTGCTGCTGGAGGAGCCGACTCGCGCGAAAAAACGGGAGCGAGCGCGCGGGCGAGCGGGGAGATCCGAGATGCCAAAAGGAAAAGACGTAGAAAGACAGCACATAAGAACAAAAGAGCAAATGTAATGCCAAAAGGAAAATCAGAAATCTTGAATGACTCCTGAGGAAAAAAATATAAAGATGCTCAATGAGAAGGAAGCTGAGAAATCAAAGGACCCTCCACAAAAGCAGAAAAGGCGGGAAGTAGGAAACTGTGGACCCTGGATTGTTGGCAAAAAGTAGATGGTGTGCTTCTGCATTTTGATATTTTAATTATTTGTCTTACGGCAGAAAGGGAATGGGCGGCCCCCCTATTTTTGACAAAGCCACCTAACCCAGACAGGAGGCCCACAAAGGAGAGATTCTCGACATTGGGTTTTCGTGCAATGCATGTTTAATTATTTGTCTTACGACAGAAAGGGAATGGGCCCCCTTACTTTGACAAAGCCACCTGACTCAGACAGCAGGCCCCAAAAAAGAGAGATTCTCGACATTGGGTTTTCGTGCGTTGCATTTTTTTCCGGAACTTGGCCTTAAGTTCTAACAAACCGGTTGCGATCGTTTGTATCGAAGCACATGTGTGGAGCATTTAATCCCAGTCAATCCGACTGTAGGTACTACCCACAACCACCCTCCAAACAGGTCAAATGTTGGTAATTACCTGGATTCTCCATGACCCTTGAAAAAAATGGTCCTTACCCGAAAAATACTGGTTGGTCATTGACCCACATTTTGTTCAAGGGTCAGAAGGAGACTCCAGGTATATATTACATATATATTATATATATATATTTATCATGGATTGTCTGGGAATTGAACTAACATTAGATAGCATTTAGGGTCATGCGGGTTTCCCGCCAGCTTCCTGGGGCTTCCTTGGCCCGATTTCGAGGGTTTTCTTGCATGGGATCCGGATTGGTCAATTCCTGAAATCCGCCGGATAGTCTGAGGTACCTTGCCGGACTCTCTCAGCAATATGTTTTCTGCATTTTCAGGTCAGGGATTCGGTTTGCAACCGATTTCCTGCACTTTTTTGATTGTTCCGGTCTTTAGCTTCCATTCCTCTTTCCAGTTGTCTGTTCTCGGTGGGCCTGCGTAAGGAAGTTCGGCATGAACCCCAGGCGTGAACTCGTTGCGACGTCGCGCGTAGGACCTTGCTGAGGAGTCTGGAGCTAAGCTGGGCGGATTATTCGAGTTGGTGGAAGTTGGCTCTATCAGGGTGCCCTGTATGTCCCTTTTTATTGGCTTTGAACATCACCTTTTGGCCCCTTTTACAGTGAGATCCTTTGGTGTGAAGGGAGCATTTTGGGGGATCCCTGTTTGTCAAAACCCACAATCGGAGCTTGGGGAAGGGCAAGAAACTCCCGTGACTGAAGTTCCATTGCCTTCGGGGGCTGATTCTTTGGAGGCGTTTCGCCACGCCACTATGGCAGCTATGGGGTTTCAACGTGTATGGTAAAAACCTAGAGGTAGCACATGAATGGTAAAAACCTAGCGCCACTATAGTAGGCTTGCCAGAGGTTTTTCAACAAATATGGTAAAACCTAGAGGTAGCCCGATTCATTCCGAAGGGCTACGAATTCTATAGTGGCCTGCCTGGCGCCTGGCGCCTGGAAGCATTGGGACCATGCAAAGTCTGTCGTCTCCTGGCCCAGAGGGTCCCAAAAGGTACCTTCTGCTGGCGGATGTGAGGAATCTGTTGGCGATTTTTTGGGGGAACCGAACCCACCGGGAACATTGGTTGGCACCAAGGGAATTTCCGGGGTGCGCTGGGTGGATGACCATCACAGTCAGCAATGCTTACAACTGAATTGGCTGTAGTTGTCAAAACCAATGGGATCCCATTTCGGGGTTTTCGGTGCACCACCCATTTTAGAACCTATTTTAGTGGGTTTTGGATGTTCACTGAGGATACGGGATTTTGACCCATGGCCAATTCGCTGAACTTCCCAAGTGTTTGCGCTTTAGTCAGGTTAGTGGGAAGCCGGCCAGCAAGAAGTGTAGACTTGGACGGCCAAAGGTGGTCACTTTTATTGGCCAGTTGAGTAGGAGGTTCGACGATGCACCATCTTATGATTGTAGTGAGGCCTATACAAATATTTACTGGCTCCCCCAGTAGTGCCCTTTTACCCTTTTTTTGGGGAGGGTTCCCCTACTAAAATAGACTACAGAAAAAGGGTGCCCTTATTCTAACCGCTCTTTTTCTAACCTCTCTACTGGAGGACCTAGTTTAGAACCTTGGAGCAGAACCCATCAACGGGCTTCGGGCGCTGCTCATTTTTTTCCATAAGTTTCCGGATGGTCTGGGACTTTTCCCGTTCCGGTTCATTCCTCCAGCTTTTCGTTTGGGGAAAAAGAAGAAAAGACGCGTCCCTCAGCTCGCGCCGTGGGATCGCTGGAGGCTCTCACGGGTGGCCACCAGCCTCTTGGCGTCCCCGGAGGAGGCGAGACGACTGCAGGAGCGCTTCGTGTCGCTGCCGCCGCAGCTGACCAAGGCGCGGCGTTCGTTGGGCGCTCGTTGGGCACAGGAAGTCCTCGAAGTCCGGGGCGCGGTTTTATGGTTTGTTTTAATTATTCGGGAATGCCCACACGGATTCATTCCCAAAGTTGTGCATTCCCAGGCATTCCCAGTTTCTTTACGGGGCGATTTAAGGTGCATTCTGGGTTGCAACTTGAAGGGGAAGGGTGTCCTTCAAGGGAAACCTTTAAGTGATTTGTGCGTTCTGGGTTTCAATTTTAAGGGAAGCGCTAAAGGGTGTCCTTCAAGGGAAAGCTTTAAGTGATTTGTGCGTTCTGGGTTTCACTTTTAAGGGAAGCCCTAAAGGGTGTCCTTCAAGGGAAAGCTTTAAGTGATTTGTGCGTTCTGGGTTTCAATTTTAAGGGAAGCGCTAAAGGGTGTCCTTCAAGGGAAAGCTTTAAGTGATTTGTGCGTTCTGGGTTTCACTTTTAAGGGAAGCCCTAAAGGGTGTCCTTCAAGGGAAAGCTTTAAGTGATTTGTGCGTTCTGGGTTTCAATTTTAAGGGAAGCCCTAAAGGGTGTCCTTCAAGGGAAACCTTTAAGTGATTTGTGCGTTCTGGGTTTCAATTTTAAGGGAAGCCTAAAGGGTGTCCTTCAAGGGAAAGCTTTAAGTGATTTGTGCGTTCTGGGTTTCACTTTTAAGGGAAGCCCTAAAGGGTGTCCTTCAAGGGAAAGCTTTAAGTGATTTGTGCGTTCTGGGTTTCAATTTTAAGGGAAGCGCTAAAGGGTGTCCTTCAAGGGAAAGCTTTAAGTGATTTGTGCGTTCTGGGTTTCACTTTTAAGGGAAGCCCTAAAGGGTGTCCTTCAAGGGAAAGCTTTAAGTGATGTGCGCGGCTCTGGGTTTCACTTTTAAGGGAAGCCCTAAAGGGTGTCCTTCAAGGGAAAGCTTTGAGTGATGTGCGCGGCTCTGGGTTTCACTTTTAAGGGAAGCACTAAAGGGTGTCCTTCAAGGGAAAGCTTTAAGTGATTTGTGCGTTCTGGGTTTCACTTTTAAGGGAAGCCTTAAGGGGTCCTTCAAGGGAAAGCTTAAGTGATTGTGCGCGGTTCTGGGTTTCACTTTTAAGGGAAGCCCTAAAGGGTGTCCTTCAAGGGAAAGCTTTAAGTGATTTGTGCGTTCTGGGTTTCACTTTTAAGGGAAGCCCTAAAGGGTGTCCTTCAAGGGAAAGCTTTAAGTGATTTGTGCTTCTGGGTTTCACTTTTAAGGGAGCCCTAAAGGGTGTCCTTCAAGGGAAAGCTTTAAGTGTTTTGTGCGTATGGTGTTTCCACTTTTAAGGGAAGCCTAACCGTGGTGTCCTTCATAGGGGAAGCTTTAAGTGATTTGTGGTTCTGGGGTTTCACTTTTAATGGAAGCCCTAAAGGTGTCCTTCAAGGGAACAGCTTGAAGTGATGTGCGCGGCTCTGGTTTTCACTTTTAAGGGAAGCCCTAAATGTCCTTCAAGGGAAAGCTTTAAGTGATTTGTGCGTTCTGGGTTTCACTTTTAAGGGAAGCCCTAAAGGGTGTCCTTCAAGGGAAAGCTTTAAGTGATTTGTGCGTTCTGGGTTTCACTTTTAAGGGAAGCCCTAAAGGGTGTGCTTCAAGGGAAAGCTTTAAGTGATTTGTGCGTTCTGGGTTTCACTTTAAGGGAAGCCCTAAAGGGTGTCCTTCAAGGGAAAGCTTTAAGTGATTTGTGCGTTCTGGGTTTCAATTTTAAGGGAAGCCTAAAGGGTGTCCTTCAAGGGAAAGCTTTAAGTGATTTGTGCGTTCTGGGTTTCACTTTTAAGGGAAGCCCTAAAGGGTGTCCTTCAAGGGAAAGCTTTAAGTGATTTGTGCGTTCTGGGTTTCACTTTTAAGGGAAGCCCTAAAGGGTGTGCTTCAAGGGAAAGCTTTAAGTGATTTGTGCGTTCTGGGTTTCACTTTAAGGGAAGCCCTAAAGGGTGTCCTTCAAGGGAAAGCTTTAAGTGATTTGTGCGTTCTGGGTTTCAATTTTAAGGGAAGCCTAAAGGGTGTCCTTCAAGGGAAAGCTTTAAGTGATTTGTGCGTTCTGGGTTTCACTTTTAAGGGAAGCCCTAAAGGGTGTCCTTCAAGGGAAAGCTTTAAGTGATTTGTGCGTTCTGGGTTTCACTTTTAAGGGAAGCCCTAAAGGGTGTCCTTCAAGGGAAAGCTTTAAGTGATTTGTGCGTTCTGGGTTTCACTTTTAAGGGAAGCCCTAAAGGGTGTCCTTCAAGGGAAAGCTTTAAGTGATTTGTGCGTTCTGGGTTTCACTTTTAAGGGAAGCCCTAAAGGGTGTCCTTCAAGGGAAAGCTTTAAGTGATTTGTGCGTTCTGGGTTTCAATTTTAAGGGAAGCCCTAAAGGGTGTCCTTCAAGGGAAAGCTTTAAGTGATTTGTGCGTTCTGGGTTTCACTTTTAAGGGAAGCCCTAAAGGGTGTCCTTCAAGGGAAAGCTTTAAGTGATTTGTGCGTTCTGGGTTTCACTTTTAAGGGAAGCCCTAAAGGGTGTCCTTCAAGGGAAAGCTTTAAGTGATTGTGCGTCTGGGTTTCACTTTTAAGGGAAGCCCTAAAGGGTGTCCTTCAAGGGAAAGCTTTAAGTGATTTGTGCGTTCTGGGTTTCACTTTTAAGGGAAGCCCTAAAGGGTGTCCTTCAAGGGAAAGCTTTAAGTGATTTGTGCGTTCTGGGTTTCACTTTTAAGGGAAGCCCTAAAGGGTGTCCTTCAAGGGAAAGCTTTAAGTGATTTGTGCGTTCTGGGTTTCACTTTTAAGGGAAGCCCTAAAGGGTGTCCTTCAAGGGAAAGCTTTAAGTGATTTGTGCGTTCTGGGTTTCACTTTTAAGGGAAGCCCTAAAGGGTGTCCTTCAAGGGAAAGCTTTAAGTGATTTGTGCGTTCTGGGTTTCACTTTTAAGGGAAGCCCTAAAGGGTGTCCTTCAAGGGAAAGCTTTAAGTGATGTGCGCGGCTCTGGGTTTCATTTTTAAGGGAAGCCCCAAATGGTTGATTCCCAAAGTTTCCTTGGGCAAGTGAGTGAAAGACTTGCTGGTTCGATAGGCAGGATCCCTGAGAAATGGGATGACCCCAGGAAAAGCCATCCAACTGGTGGTTTCCTTTGAGGGGGCTAAAGCCTGGGTCAATTCCCACCTTCCCACCTCTCGCACGAGGGAATCCTCAAAGGGTTCATGGCCAAAACCCGGTCTGGGTCATGATATGGGTTTGGATTCTTGCTGGCCGTCGGGGTACCTGACCCCTACTCATCCTGGGACGGGTTCGTGTTTTTTTGGCATACGGCTAAGTCGGGATGGGCTCACTACGTTTTCCACCAACGACCACTCACTAGTTTTCCCATGTCTCAGCGGGTCTGTTATGCAACCAGTGATGCCATTTCCAGGCATAGCTGACCAAGTGACGAAACAAGAGAAATGCAGTTTCTCTTCCCAATCTCCGAAATGAGGGTGCTTTGGCTCGGTCAGATCTCTAAGACTCCAGTCCAGCCCAAGATCAACTTGGTTTCTGGGAATGAAAAAGGGGGATTGGACAGGAAGCCCGTGCAAGCCACTATAGCAGGTAACCCCGGGTTGCACCATGATGCAAAACCCAGACCCAGTGGATCCATTTACCTGTATAGTAGGTAACCCAGGAAACCACCCTTCACAAACTTCGAGGAGAATAGCTGGTTGCCTACTATGTATGGGTAACTGGGATGCACTGGGAGAGGTAGCCGTAGCAATTGGTTACCTGCTATAGTGGCAGAAAACGCCTGGAAGCGCTGAAGTGAAGCAGCTCACTCGAAGCGCAGGGACCTTTCGAGCCTTGCCTGCTCCTGAAGTTTGTGTGGGTGTGGCTCAAAATTAAACGATCGGAGGGGCAAACCGCAGGTTTTGGTCCATGTTTCCGCTTACCCGGGGTTCCATTTTGGACTTCCGGTTTTTTGAATTCGCCACAGCGCTGTGGCATGTGTTGTCGAGCTTCCAAAAGGTGAAGCTTTTGTTTCCCTAGCCCAAGACCTCATAGGGGCACTCATACTTTGGGTCCAAGGGGTTAGAATTTTCCGGCCAGGAGCAAATGCGTTGCAATCCTGCTGTCCCAGTTCCGTCCAAATGTATTTAAACAGAAGTAAGCGGAAAAGTGTCCAGAAAGGGAATGGGACACATGTTGGGCAAGAAGCAAGTTTAACCAATGGGTCTTCCCTTTTCATTGCCCAGCCAAATACATCCAAAGTGGTAAAGAAAAGTGGGACAGGAAAGTTCAGTGAGGCTTTTTTGGGCTAATCTACTGGTTCGGAAGCGGTAAGCTCACTTCCTGAGTTCCGAAACGGACTTTCGGTCACTTTTTGGCTTGGACCAATTTGGTGGTGACCAAAAACAAAATCATCAGAATCAGACTTGTTTTGGCGACTCCGCTTAGGAAGTGAGCAAACAGTTTCTGGATTATTTTTTGGCCAATCCACTCGTTCTCAGACGTTTTTTAGCCAATCCCCGCGTTCGGAAGGGAGTAAACCACCTACCAAAACGTAAACTAACTGTTGATCATCTAAAAGGTCCAAATGGGTGTGGCTCAAATTTAAACGATCGGAGGGGCAAACCGCAGGTTTTGCTCCATGTTTCTTTCCACTTCCCGATCGGGCTTGCGCCATTTCGGACTTCCTTTGGTTTTTTGGACTTCGCCACGGCCAAGTAGAACTCCAAAAGGCCCAAGCACAAGATCTGGGCGCTCATCGTTTAAACGGCCCTCGTGCCTCGCTCGTGAGGTCTGCCAGGCCGTGCAGCGCTCCCCTGCGGCGGAGCTGAGGGCAGAGGAGCTGGCCTCTCGAACGAGAAGGTTCTTATTGGATACCAAGCGCCCATTTTCTGGGGTCCACATGACCCACTTTTCTAGGTGTTCCTTTTAAAGAGTGTCTCGTTTTTTGAAGGGAAAGCAGGGAACACACGATCCATTTTCTGGGTTCCGAAGCCTAGTTTGATACCAACTAGGTCCCCCAGGAGTGCCCTTCTCTCCCCTTTTTTGGGGGAGGTTGCCCCTACAAAAATGACTACAGAACAAAGGGTACCGAAATTCTAACCTCTCTACTGGAGGACCTAGCCAAGCATTCGCCCATTTTCTGGGGTTCCCCTATTTTGAGACACGCCATATAAAGAGAGAGACTCCCTTGCATCCGTCATTGGGAAATTACCTGGAGTTTTTTTTGTGTGACCCTTTAAAAATCGGTCAATGACCCCATTATTTTGGGTAATGACACCATTGTTTAAGGGTCATGGAGACTGCATGTAGATACCATTGGCTAGGTCTCTAGTAGTGCCCTTTCTCACCCCTTTTTTGGTTGGGAGGTTCAACCCTACTAAAGTAGACGTGCCCTTATTCTAACCTCTTTACTGGAGGACCTAGTTAGATACCAAGCATCACCCAGAGGCTTGCTTGGTACCTCGTGAGGATGGCTTTTGGGGGTCGTTCAGTGCCTTCTTAAAAGGTACCAAGGGACCCTCTGGGTCAGGGTTGGGGCTAGTAACCCCACTTCTCTGATACAAGGGAATCTCCCCCTTTATATGGCCTGTCTCAAAATAGGGGAACCCCCAAAATGGATAGTTTGTTCCCTGGTTTCCCTTGAAAAAAGACACTTTTTAAAAGGGTACCTACAAGAGTGGGGAATGTTGACCCCATATTAGTTTCCCCCTGTTTATCAATAACGGGGGCTGTTCCCCTCCAAAAGTGATGATTCCCCACTAAAGCCAGGGACACCCCCGGTTGATGAATATGGGGCAACCCCACCAAGCATTAAAAACAAAACGGCGGAATTCGACATTTAAAAAAACAAAAAAAAGTGCTTCCCGGCAAGCCACTATAGTAGGCAACCAGGGGAAACTATCATGTAAAACCCAGGCAAAGAATCGTGGGAACTGGAAGCACTGGGTTAAATTACCATTTGAGCAGCTTTCGGTTTGGCCACTGAAGTGTAGCCCCCGCACGGCTCATATGAGTGTGGCAAAAATAGGGAATTGAACCCTACAAATTGTCATTATCCTTTCGGTGTTCCTTTCAAACCAGCTTTAAAAAAAGGTACAAACAAACAACACATATTATATATACCTGTGACGCCACCGTATATTTTGTCTTTCTGGGCTGGGTTTGCTTCGGTCTGCCTTCGAAGCAATCCCCTTGTGCCAGGGTTTCCAACTCCACTTGTTGTACTTTGAGGGATCCTTTTGTTCCGTCCATCAAAGATCAAAGGCAACCAAAGATCAACAAGTAACCCAAGAATCTGTAAATGACCAATCCCCGTTGTCACCAAGGCCCAAGACCGGAAATATCGAGTTCCCTCTGAAAGAGGCCCGTTCTTGGATGTGCAAGCTACTTAGTAAGCAGATTACAATCATGGTTCTAAGTGGGCTCACCCCAGTTACCTCACTTGCAACCACGGTCACAACCTACTTACCTGACGTTGGTTGTGCATCCAAGTTTTAGCCCCAGGCTTTTGGGGGGGCGGGGCACTCAATTTGGGGTCCAAGGAGCTCCTAGAGAAGTGCGAGGCCCCTTTAAAACCCCTCAGTTGCCCAGTGGTGCCCTTTTTCCACCTTTTTTGGGGGAAAGGATTCCTTGAAGTCAACCCTTCCCCAAATAACATCGGATGCCGATTATTTTTTTCCCATGTGGAAATCCACTGTTCCCCCTTGAAAGTCAACCCTTCCCAAAAAAAAGAGATGGCCTTTTTGTTTCCCCATGGAAATTCACTGAGCCTTTGAGTTGGGGTTGCAAAGGAACGCCATTTTGGAAACCATTTGGGTGGGTATCTGAGTCTAATTGCTTGAAGGTTTTCACTTGTTTGGGTGGGTTTTCAAGGGAGCCAACATGTCCTTTTTGCTTGGTGTGCTTTAAAAAAGTCGAGGGCCCAGGTTTTTCTTCCATTGACCAGAACCACCCATTTTTCCCAACAGGCTTTAAAAACAAATCCCCTGACTGACAATGCGCCTGGCAGACACCGCGCCGTGCCCCCCCCCCCTGGCAGTGCCCCCGCGCCCTCGGCGCGAGCGCCCAGCGCCCGCGCCCGAGGCCTTGATGCTGCGGGGCTCCGCCGGCTCGGCGCCCGCGCGGCCGCAGGCGCAGGCGGTGCTGGCCGCCTGCGCGGAGGCCGGCGCGCCGCAGGCGCCGGGGGCCCGGGGCCTCGGGTGTGGGAGGCGGTTTTGTGGCCGAGCTTCTGAGGCTACCATGTGGCTGTGGCGAATTCAAAAAAACGGAAGTCCAGAATGGCGCAAGCCCGATCGGTAAGTGGAAACATGGACCAAAACCTGTGGTTTGCCCCTGCTGTTTCATTTCGAGCCACACCCACATTTTTGCAGAAGGCTCCCCTTGCTCCTGCCGCAGGCCTTCTGGAAAACTGAATGGCAGGAGCAAGGGGAGCCTTCTGGAAAAATGTGGGTGTGGCTCGAAATGAAGCAGGAGGGGCAAACCGCAGGTTATGGCCCATGTTTCCACTTTCCGATCGGGCTTGCGCCATTTTGGACTTCCGGTTTTTTGAATTCGCCACAGCCACATGGTAGATCCAGTTGCTTGTAGGCAACCAAGGGCTTCTAGTTACTTGTAGGCGTGGGACCTTCTAAGGTACCTGGGTGGATCCAAATTGGGTCCTCCAAGGCCATTCTTTAAATCCACTTACCTGTTTTGTGGTTTTGTAGGCAACCAAGGGACTGGTTTTTCCATGGTACACCCAGTAGATCCAGTTGCTTGTAACTAAGGACTTATACGACCCTTTAAAAGCCTATACCAAAGCAGCTGGTTAGCTACTATATGGGTGGTACCAAGAGACCCATGTTACTCCCAAAAGGCATCCTCAGCATCCCTTGCAAGGGGCCTTTTGGTACTACAACTGGGGGCGTTTCCCTGCCTGCCGTGTCACGCCTTCTCTGGCATGGTACAGTCGTCAGAGGAGTCTGCTTTGGTTTCCCTTCAAACCAACCCCACCGTCAACAACAACACGCAATGGCTGCCAAATGGGTCATGTTTGTGAACCAACCACAAGAACAGTTTGTTTTGGTGCCCTCAGGTTGTCCACACATAGGTCGTCCATCTTTGGAGGAACTCAAAACAAAGGTTTTCCTTTGCGTAACTACCTTCAGGCAAAGCACATTCAGCGTGAATACTATAAGGTACTAAAACCAACATATCAAATCTCTCCTCTCGCCGCTAGGCCTGTCGCGAAGCAGCCACTTGACCTGACAGGGCCGATGTGGCTGTGTTCGGGTGGCTCGCTTTCTTTCACTCACTTGCCCAAAGCGAATCGGCCTTTTGACCTTTTAGTTTTAGTTTCCGCTTGTTGGTCCACTTTTAGTCATGCAGCTCAGTTCTTGTGTTGCAGCTTCCTTTTGGCACGAAATATGAGCCACAACAAGACTACATTTTTCTTGCGCACCTCATTGGGCCATGGGTGAATTATTGACCAGAGACACCCAACAAAGGTCGAACGTTGTGAGTTGCTCCGAGCCGGGACCTCTCATCTTTTGTGCCGATTGGGTTATTGGAGTTTGCAAGTTCCGTCAGGGCTACATCCTCAGGCTACCAAAACCTGGAAAACAAAGCGGGTCAGAACCAAACAACCTGTTTTTGTTCCAGCTTTGTTCCGACAAACCTGGTTCTGGCAGGAGAAACCTGGTGCTTCGAATTTGCACCCGCAAAAACACCCCCACAACAACAGTAACCCTATTCTATTGTTCCGTACAAAGACGGTAGAAACCCGTACGCTCAACAATCTGCCGAAAACGGTTTCCCCCCCCTCCCGCACAAAACCTTTTTTTGTTTTTGTCCGGGAGTCCTGCTTTTCTTCTGGTGTTTAGTAACTCATGGATTGCCCATGTTTGATTTAATGAATATGTTGGGTGTGTCTTTTTCAGGGGGAGCCCAATATGGTGGCGTTCTTCTTGGTTTTCCTTTAACACCACAACACAAAGTACCCTCAAACAAGGCACAAAGGTTGGGTTTCCCTAAGCAAGTGGGCTGTCTGGGCATGGCTATCAGATGTTCAGTGTTAGTGCCTCCTGTTATCCCAGCTAGTAGGGTAATTGTTTGGGCATAGGTTCTTTGCGGTTGACACCTTGTGCCTAAGCTACCCAGGCAATTAGATACCACGCCACCAATCTGGGTCAACCATTCACCAAACGGACATCAGGAAACTTCCATTTGCTTAAGAATATATATATATATATATGTTTTTGTTGTCCCTTGTTGGTTTTAAAAGGAATTTGTCAATACTGGGAATATGTTTTTTTTTTTTCCAATGGTCTTAACCAAATGGAAGGAAGCCCAAGAAAGAACGCCGAGCCTTCAGGTGCAGAGTCTGATTTCCGGACGGGTCGAGCGATTTTTTGTCCGCACCAAGGCGGCCACCCCGTGTGTTCCCACTGGGCCTTATGGTTTCACTTCATGCTTTAAGCACCACTTTTGGGGGGCCCCATGCCAAGTTTCCGTCCTTTTGCGGCCGGATGTTTAGAAGGATCTCTGACCGGAAGGGGAGGCAGTTGCGTTCCGTAGGTGATCTCGGCTTTGGAAGCTCTGCCCTTCAAGATCCCGCTGGCGCCGGACAAAGGCGATCCGATCGATCGATCCCGTCGAGAAAAGGTTCACGGGCTGAGTGGCATCCAAGCGGGTTCCTTCCATGTGCTTGAGAATGTGGTTCATGTTTTTTTTCCCAAATTGGCTTTAAAGGGACTCTAGCACTATTGCCCGATTTTTTTTTGGGGGGGGGGAGCTTAAGCAAAGCTTAAGCAAATGGATGGTTCACACTTCAACCAGGAAGCAATGTTTCTCGGAACCCGTTATTTTTCCGTGCCAACCTGGTGTTTGGCCCCAACCGAAGAGTAAAATGACAACCGAGTTGCAGGTGCCGGTTTGGAAACACAGGGTCAGCCCGCGTTGCATTAGCCCAACTGCAAAAGCCACCTTTTGTTTTCTTACCGGTACCAAGGCTTGGGTCCAGCTACCCTCAACCCACCAGAAGCTCCCGCAGGTGTTGACAAAGTCCGCATCAACCGCGCCGCCTTTGAGTGGCTCTGGGACTTGGCCGAGGATTATGCCCGACGCCTCAGCTCCAGCTTCGTTCAGCGCCGCTTTGCGCGCGGGGCGTGGGGCTGGAGGCCGTCACGTGGACCACAGGGCCCCATTTTTTACGACCTCTTTTTTTTTGGGGGGGGGGGGGAGAGGCAGAAAAGAATGGGGTTGGCCACCCAAACTACCCGCAAAAAACAACAAGTATTTTGAGACATAGTGGCAAGCATTGTTCGCCGGAGCTTCCACTCGACAGTTTGGGTTTTGTATCGCACATTCGTAAAATTGGTTTTGGCCTGTTGGCCGCTTGCGACTCAGGGCTCCCCCGAAACTGTCCTGAAACTTTCTTATTGGCAACTGAAATAGCTCAAGAAGGCCGAGGCTGCCATCCATGGGAGGCAGCAAAAAATATGTAGGAGCCCGCAACTGCATGTGCAAGAATGGACCCCACGGTCAATGCATTGCACCCTATCGAGAAGCTTTCCAATCTGGTGCTTCCGGTCGTCGAGCGTTCCGAGGACATGGTGGGAAAGGTTATGGCGGAACGATATCCTGCGAAGCGGAGCAGAGCAATATTTCTAGGGCATGATTCCCCATTCTTTTCAACCATTGTTCTTCTCAAAAACTGGCCGTTTTCGCTGGGTATCTGGAGGTTTTCTAGAAAGAAGGATCCCTGGAAAGAATGGGGGAGCTACCCCTAGAATATTGCCTTCCCTTCCAACAGCAGCTTAGAGATTGTGGACAGGATTACTCTTCCCCCCGGAGCACAAGGTCTAACATCTTTTTGGTATAGTGAAAACCCAATCAATACCGGCTTTCGGACAAGTTTGGCACGCCTCGAAAAGGAAACCTACCCTTGTTGAAGCCGGCCAGCGGGAAAGATCCCAGCGTTTCCAGTTGCCACCATTTTGTAGGTAACCTGGTAATTTACCTGTATGTCTTACATGACGGTTTCCCTGGTTACCCAACTGGAAACATTGGGAATCTCATTGTCGGCATTTAGCTTTTCCTCCGTTGGCAACAGCGATACCCCGTGCCAGGTTTAGGGGGGCGAGGGGTACTTTTTGCGAGCACCCATCAAGAAGCAAAGCCGCACGGCCTCAAGAATAGGACACGTCCTTTGTTTTGGGTTTCAAGCTTCCTTGGAAGAAAAGCCCAAGGTTGACCTTCCCCAGACAATCTATGGGTAACATATACCAACATTTGACCCATTTGGAGGGTAAACGTGGGAATATAGTGCCTTCATGGATTGCCCGGGTTCCTTGAGTGATTGGTTCCAAATAGGTGTGTTCTTTTTAGACCCAAAGTCTTAGTTTCCCTTTGTTCCCCTTTGAACACCTGCCCCTAAAAAGAGTACCAACTAACCAGACAGGCCCCTTACGCGGGTTTGGGCGTTTGGACGGCTCAGGTCTTAGTGACAGAGATCCCCTCCAACGAGTGCTCGAATGCGTGAGGGGCTGAGGAATGCGTCACTTGCTTCACATGGCTTCACATGATGGTTTGCTCTGGTTACCTACTATAGTGGCAACTGGAAGCACTGGGTTGGAGTTCCGCTAAAGTTTCACATTTATCCAGCAAACGGCAGTTTGTTTAGGTTGTTGTTTGTCGTCAACTGCCCGGCAATACTCGGAGCGCCCCGTTGGGTGACGTCAGCGTGACGTGCTGTTCAATCCATGCCCAGTGCTTCCAGGCAAGCCACTATCGTAGGTCAAGGGGAAATTCATGATGTACAACCTAGAGGAAGCCATACCGAAGGGTTACCTACTATAGTGGTAGCTGTCTAACTAAGGCTATTCTTTTCATGGGATCCGGATCCAAGGTGCGGGCGCTCGCTTTTGCCCTTCTTCACCGGCCTGGCACGGGCGCAGGAGACTTGTCTGCGAACTTTTCCATTTCCATTCGTAACCCAGGGTTGCTCAGACAAATCGAGAATGGGTTGTTTGTAAACTGATGGGTTTCCCTTTGTGTTCCGCCGTTACCAAGCTGGACAGTCTCAGGGTGGCTTCCCCATTCTTTCCAGGGATCCGGACCTTTCTAGAAACCCAACAAAAACCCTGGCGAAATGGATCCGGTTTTTGACAAGAGCGATGGCTGAAAAGAGATCCGGTTTTCCGTTGGCTCGCGGGCTGTTGCACGAAAAAAGCTCCCAGCTAAGGCAGGTCCGTTTCTTTGGCGGTTCCGAACCAGCCGTCCGGTTCCTGAGGTTTTGGTTGTTTTTAGTTGGTTGGTTTCTATTGAACCCACTAAAAGTTAGCCCCGTTTTGGTTACCCAGCTCGGAGGGGCTTACAAGTGGGCTGCAACCTAGGTTTCGAACAACTTACTAACTTGGCCGAACACCCAAGTAGTGTGTCATAATTTGGTTGCACCGGCGTTACCCTCTTCCAGCAATGTGAAATGGACAAGGGGATTTTTTTTTCTGGACCGATCCTCCAAGATCTTTGTGCAGCTGTGATTGCCTAAGGCTCCAACGCTTCTTGTTAGGCCGCCCTTACATGGATGACCATTTGGGAAACCAGTAAAAATGTGATCAACCTCTCGCTTGCTAGCAGCAAAGCAGGGCCTTCAACGAGTGTTTTGTTTTTAGTGTTTGACCTCCAAATTGCCCGAAGAGTAACCGAGCAGACTGAGTAGCAACCAGTCAAAAAACACAGGGCTGCATAACCTCACACATGGTTCTCCAGAAAAAAAAAGCCTATGGTGCGAAAGAGCACCGCAAATACTTATTTGGGCCCTTATATTTCCTGGCTGCCCTCAAGCCATGGGAAGTTGGCTCAAGGGGCTCTATCGTCACTTGAAAGGATCGATCCCAGTGTCTTGGGCGATTTTTTTGAGGCAGGGGCTTTGGATGCCCTGCAAGCAAACCAGCCATGAATCAAATTATTGTAACAGGACTTTCCTCTCCCCTCTTTTCCCGGGGCATGACCCATGGCGATCCCATTTTGGGGTGGATGAACATCCATTTGCCACCTATTTTGATGTTTAGGGGTACAGGGTTTTGACAACCACAGCCACATAGTGAAACCCCTGGCTACCATAGTGGCGTGGCTCGCCTAGCACTGGGGATCGCTTGAGGCGGTGGTTTTTGATTTTAGCATCTACACCTCTGGTGTTGCGTCTCAAAGATGGGCTTGCACACTTGCCCCGCAACGGCTCGAACATCCGGTGGATGGACGAAGTCCAGTTCGCACCACCTTAAACACCATGGTTGAAACTATTGTGTGTTTGGTATTTACAGGGGAATCGGATTAGAAGACAGGGTTTCTTGGGTGGTGTGAAATGTTTTTGGCAACCATCACAGTATCAAAGTAAGCTGCTTGTGGTATTGTTATTTGCTTGGGCAGTACACTTATGTGTGTACATACGTTTATGGTTGTTCCAAGCTCAAGTTTGCGGCTATAAATAAAAATGCATACATAGCGATGGCACCTCATGTGTTTTTGCCGCAGGGTGAACACCTCTAGGGGGAGTCCCAAGCTGTGGAATCCACCCTTTTGTGGCGCCCTCTTCCCGTTTGGTTTACGGAAAAGGGGGCCTAAAGTTTAGGGGTAGACTAGACTTGGCGGTTTCCAGCTGGCCCCTTAGCTTTGCAGGTTGTTGGGGTTTTGTGGTAGAAACCATTTGACCCACAGAGAGTTACACTTTTGACCGGGGATGTGAGGACAGCCCAGTTAACCTTTTGGTTTCCTTGTTCTGGGTCATATCTAGTCATGGCCCCAAAAGGTCAACCTTGTACTTGGGTCCTTTGGGCACTGAGCTAAGAAAAGGGGCATATGGGGCGTGTCTTTGTTAAGGTTGGACCCCCCAAAGGTGTGGTTTTCCTTCTGCCTGCTCGCTAAAAAAGTGGTGCCGTGCCCTTTGGGCAACCAAAAGTTCAGCTTTCGGCCCCTGGGCCCCTGTGGCCCGATCCATTCGAGCCGCACCTCGACATTTCGACAGGAGTTGCACTCGAGCCCCCGCTGCCCCAATGAACTTTTTGACGACACCGCGGAGCCCGTGCGGCCACTTTGGATGGAAGTGGCTGCCTGGAGTCTCCTTCTGACCCGAAATAAAAATGGGTCAATGACCAACCATGATTTTGGGTTTGCTGACCAACCATTTTTTATTCGGGTCAGAAGGCGACTCCAGGTGTGGGGTGAAGGGGCTGTCAAAGCCCAGGCGCTTGGGCCCAGTTGCCATAGAGTAGGTAGCCAAGCATGGAGCTACCTCTAGGTTTTGCATCATACCTAGGACTTGTGGCGAAACGGTTCTGAAAGCACTGGGTAAGGGTGAAAGAAGCCCAACCCATGGTTGTTGTTGGGAAACATTTTACATTTTTGCTTATGGTGGTTTAGTGGGAAATCCCCACTGAACTGCTAAAATTTCAATTTCTGCTCCCCTTCCAACGTCAACCAAGAACCGGGGGTCCAAGTTCAACACCTGGGATGGATTTCAAGATGTCGTATCCCATTGTTGGGAGAGGCAAAGCGAGACCTCCAGTGCCAGAGGATGCCTTGGTACCACTACAGATTCCTCCAATCTGCAAATATGAGGTGCTTGGACCGTCTGGGAGTGCAATCTTTGTGCATTTTGTCAAGAGATGTTAGGACTGAACAACTTTTTGCCAACAAATTCGGGTTTTCCGTATCACACCACAAAAAGTGGAAAACTTTTAGCAGCAGAAGGCAACCGGGCAATGTTCCAGGAAATTCCTTCTTGACTTCCAGTTGCCAGGGTGTCGCCGGAAGTCGCGAGGCTGTTGGGCACTCGATTCGTGAGATCTTGTTCTTCAAGGGAGGCATAACTCGACTTGTCTAAGCGCACTTTTTTCTTGGGATCTAAATTTATACAGATTCTTTGTTCTTCAAGGGAGGCAGAACTCGACTTTTCCAAACGCACTTTTTCTGGGGATCTACCGTTTTTTAGAGATTCTTGGGTCTTCAGGTAGTGGTTTAAACATATCTGAAGAAGAGCTTGGCCCTCGCCCTGCTACTTGGCAACGCGAGAGCGGGATGGCTTCGCGCACTTTGGGTCGGTCGCCGTGCCTCGCCTCGACCCAGTTCCCGAAGTTGGCGCCTTCCAGAATCAACACCTCTCCTAGGTCCCCCAGTGCCCTTGTACCTTTTTTTGGGGGGAGGGTTCCAAACTACAAAAATATACCACTGAACAAACGGTACCCTCATTCTAACCTCTAATGGAGGACCTGGTCTCTGTGTCAAACCTATCGCAACCCTTTCCAATCTTGGGACCTCCCCAGCCCTAAGGCCTCAACCTGTCGAGTTGGCGATGAAGTGGCTTGTTTGTTGGCTGGGCTTGTCATCATTTCAGTCTGGGACCCAAAAGATTCACTTTTCGGTCGCTTCAGTCGGTCAGTGCAGCCCCGAGGTTAGCATTTGGAGCGTATCTGCAACATTTGGCCATCCTGCAACAATGCGAGGAGCTCAACCAGGCTGGCTGCGGCTCTTTCTTTCTTTCTTTCTTTCTTTCTTTTTTTCGGCAGCTGATCCCTCCCAGGCATTATAGTAGTGCTTCTACCTGGGTAGACAAGGATGATAGTAAGACCTATAAACCTTTACAGCCACTAAACCAACAGTCAGAGGGATTTGGTCGTTCAATGGGTGCGGCCTTGCGCCTCTGGCAACATTGAATGCGATGATAACTTCGGATGAATCTGGAGAACACCATAGGAATGCTCCAAACTGCTTTCATTTCCCAGTGAAGCTGGCCCCCTGTGGTCCTCCGGTTCAATTAATTCAAAGTTGTTGTTTTTCATACTGTGGATGGACGAAGTTCTGCACCACCTAAGATACCCTGGAATGTTGATTCCCCTGTAAATACCAGCAAACAATGGTTTCCCATAGTTTCAAAGTGGTGCAGGATTTTGTCCATCCACAGTAGGGGGTGTCCCCTTTTAGAGGTGATCCGGATCACATGTTGGGGAAGCATTTGATTGATTTGGGGGCTTGGGGGTCGACGTCAAAGTGAGGTGCTTGGTGGGATGATCCAACGAGCCTTGGGATTTGTTTAGGGAAAGTACGGAGTCATAAGGCGAATCCTGATTTGTTATGCTCTTTGCTGGAAGTCATAAGGCGAATCCTGATTTGTTATGCCCTTTGTTGAACGATCATAGAGGTGGACAGGGGGCTTCCCCAAACGAAGCTAGGCTTTCAAAACCTTCTTGTCAGCTTCCAGGGTTGAACAGGGCTAGTTTGGCAAGAGTCTCCTGTAGCTTGTCCTATGTGGGTGTGTTTTTTGGGGCTGGCACCCATGGGGTTGTGTTTCAAGGGAGGGCAACCACGCATTTTGGGGGCCCCTACTTCCAGGCACACTATGAGGTTCAGTGAACATGTCCAGTAAGTTGGCAGGGACATGGGCACCCGAAACTCCTCTTTGTTGTTGCAAGTGATTTGCCCTTCTATGAATAGTCTCTGTGTTTCCGACCCAAAGCACGCGGCTTTCTGATGTCCCCTCAGCAAATATGTGTCCGTGACCAAACTTGCTGGTTCTCAGCGGGGAATGAGGGAATGCCCCTATAAACCATCCCCTATGGTTTCCTGTAAGGGAATCTCCAACCGGTTCCATTCTCAACACCGTGGGTCATTCCCTCCTGAGCACAGCAGCGAGTAACTGTGAAACTGTCTTGTTGCTTTTGCTCTACGCTCGGGGTTGGGCCAAGTGTGACAAATGCTACAAAATCATTCTGGTTGGGTTCGGTAGTTGTGAGCAGCGCCCAGAACGTCCCATTTGCCATGTCAGCAGATGGTTCTACCTGGCTTCATGAGGTTTATGGGCTTGCCTATACAGCCTCCTTCTTTCCCATTGCTAGAAAGTCAATAGGTGAGTGGCTTTTTTGCCGACCAGCTTCCTATTCCCTGGCCGGCGACAGGCCTTTCGGCTGGGTGCCGCGAAGACAGACGCTCGCCCAGACTTAGGGACGGGGGCCAGTTTCCTGTCAGTTTCCAAAAGTGGTACCTGGAGTCTCCTTGGACCCTTTAAAGGATGGGTCAACGACCCCATTTTTTTGAGGGTCATGGAGACTCCAGGAAGGTGCACGGAGACATGTGAAGTTGCGCTGAACTCGGGGGGTCCAAGACTTGCTTCCTTGCAATATGCAGGGCACCCGCCTTTTTTTGCTGTCCGGCACTGCCTTTCCTTTCAAAAACCCGAAGAGGAAAACCTTGTAGGGTCGAAAGCCAAATCGTACACCCCCCAGTGAAGATCCCAATCCAACCAATAAAATAGGTTCTAAAATGGGTGGTGCACCTACCCCAAAATGGTATCCCATTGGTTTTGACCCACAGCCACATTTGGGCCACGTGCATTTCAAAATGGCCGAACTCCATTTTGACACGCAGCCTTTCTTCACAAGCAGAATTGTGACTACAGAAGATTTCGACCACGGCAGTCAGCCGTTGCGACCTAGCAGCAAAGGATTTGTGTTTGGGGCGGCGGGGTGATGTTTTTCTTGGCACATATGTTCGAAAACCACCATTCTTGTTTGGGGTCTGGATGTTTTCTTTGCATTTTTTTTGTTGGAAGGCTGCCGGTTGCTCGAAGAAGGGGGAAACAATCTCATGAGTTAGAGAGACCTTCGCTCCTGCCAGGAAGCGGTCCCCAAACTCTTCTTTCTGGTGCGATAGGTACTCGGTAGGGGACGACCTGAAAAGAAACTATAGCAAACCTGGAAGAGATACTCGACCAGCTTGCTAAGTAGGTTGTAACATGTTGTAACCATATGGCTCTGAGCCCAGCTACTTAAAACCCAGGTTATAACCTAGTTGCTAAGTTGGTTGAAGATTCGCGCGGTAGTGAAAAACGGGTTGCATGCAACAGTGGCGTGCCAAGGTAAAGTCTCCTGTCATTCATCGATCGCAGACCTGCACCATCCATTATCCGAACATGTCACTCGGCTGCGTTTGCGTCAGGAGAAAAGTCGGCATCCTGCTGCAAAAAGATATCCCTGCAAAAAAAAGTTTCTTTGTGTCCAACTTGCGACAAACTCGATTCTATCCCAGCAAGGCCCAATATGTGAAAGTGGGTTGTGTGAGGTTCACTTCACTGTTCTTGGCATGTTTTTTTGGTTTTAGTCATGTTTACTGGGCGGCTGCACACATCAACGTTTGTTGAATCCATGCCAAGGGTTGTAGCGAGCTCATGTCACGTAATGCTCAACGGCGAAGATAGCTTCCACGTGGCTGTTTCACAGATGGTATGCCTCCGCTTCGCAGAGGGAGCAAACTTCCATGAACAGTGGCATCTAATCAGCAAGTGCTTGTTTTCCAGCCCCCACGCATGCATGCAAATGTATTGTATCCCATGTACATATATATATATATATATTATATACAGATGAGTAGTGTTGTATACTATGTGGTTGAAGAAACTACCTTGCTTGGAATACTATGACCAAGACACACAGGAGTGTTGGCTGGAAGGCCCTACCAGATGGCTTGGATCCGGGGTCAAATGGTAGCAACCTCACAAACCGACAGTAAGCTTTCGTGTTCTTGTTTTGTTGTGGTCCCTTTCAGGTGTGTTATCTATGATTGATCCAACCACGAGTTTGATGATTCTCTTTCGGAACCAAGGTGATTCGGGCTTCAATTTTCTTGAAGGGCCCTTCAAGATAGGCCTTCAGTAGTGCCAAAGCTCTTGGTTGCAAACAACACAGCAGCAAGTGCAGTCTAGTGTAGATTCATTCCAACACATGTCGGGTTCTTGAGACAGTCCTTGCCGGTTTCCAGCGGTCCCTTTAGGCTTTCAGGTTTTAAGAGTTTAGTGGGGGTTTCCATCTAATCGACCAAAAGTATATAGTTGTTGTTTGTGTTTGTTGGGCGGTTGCTGTTCTTTGCCCTTTTGATGAATTGCTTGGTGGTTCCCAAGCAAGGCCCGATGTTGCGCAACTCTCCCCGAGAGAGTTGGTTGCCACTTCGGGCTAGTTGGGATGTCTTTGGGAGTCAAAGGAGGTCGTTAGGTACCAAGGGACCCTGTGGGCTGGAGCTCCATCTATCCCGAATGAATCGGCTGCGAGGACCCTTTATTTTGGGTGACCCCAGTAGGGGGGTGGGGGTTGGGGGGGGCGAGGGCGGGGGGGTTTGGGGGGGAAGGGGGAGGGGGGGGCATTGTTCAAGTCAGAAGGAGACTCCATTCTGAGCAAAATGATTTGCAAGAAAGTGAAGAATGAATCCAGCCTCCGAAGCCATAACGCGTTCCTCACTTGGTCAACGCGAATCGACCTTTTGACCTTTTGGTTTCCCCTTTTTGGGTCCGTGTTTGGTAATGGCCACAAAAGGAGAGAGCCTTTTGTTGCTGAGTCCCGAAAGCGCAAGTGAAGATATTCTGAACAAATTGGCTTCAGCCCATTTTCTCGGTCGCACATCTGAGGCTGCATTTCGGCTTGTGGCCGGCCTCACAAAACCTCCTGCAGGGACCCCAGAGCCGACGGGACCATTTTCTTCGAATAATTTCTGTCGTTGAGGGGACGTTCGGGTCTGCTCCAAAAACATACATTCCCCCCGACTAATTAACATGGAAGCTCCCAGGACCCTGTGGAAGGCTTGGTTCCATTTACAGGGGCCTTCTGGGAGCTTCCATGGTTAGTCTGAGGGAGTGTACCATGTTGTAGTGTGTGTGTATGTGTTTTTGAAGGTGCCCTTTTTGGGACGATCTGAACAGGGAAACCAAGAAGAAGACCACCATTTTCAGGATTCCCGTTGACGCATACCCAAAGGAACTCTGTCGTCGATCAAGTTCTGGGAAACCGGAGTTTGGCGGGTCGCCAAATCTGGTTCCTTCCGGTTCTCTCGCTGACTGGGCCACAGGGCCGGGATTCGATATAGTCCTAATCAGGATGGAATTGAAACTGTGGATGGACGAAATCCTGCACCACCTAAGAAACCATGGGAAACCATTGTTTGTTGGTATTTACAGGGAAAGAAATCATTCCAGGTTCCTGAGGTGGTGCAGGATTTTGTCCATCCATGATTTTGGCATGCAGGAAGATGGTTCTGCCGAAGCGCTCCCTACTCACTAGGGGCGGTCCCGGAGGCCCTCGTCGGAGCTTTGAATTGAGCATTGGATCCCGGAACGCGCCCAGTCCGTGGAATTTATGGATGTACCCTGAACATGAAGGGTTGCTCAAGAAGAGATTGAATCAGTTGAGGCAAATGAGCACAGTGCTTTTTAGGCCCTTTTGCTGCACTGGAAGTGGACAGGATAGCTCTTGGATGTGGTGTGTGTCTTCCATGTTAAGCCGGTTGGGTTCCTAAAACAAAAGGCCCCCCTTGATGTCGATTGGGGGGCCAAAGACAAACACCAGGGTGACGTGTGTGCCATCAACACTTTCTTTGACTCGGATTTGCATGGATGGTCACTGACTCCTCAGGATGGGGTGCAGACAACCCTTGCAAAGGTTCCTCTAAGGGAAACCAAGGCAGCATGACACACATGCTTTGTTGGGGATGGTCCGACCCAACCACAGGGCGTTGAATTTGCAACCAAAACGAAGCCAAAAGTACGCCAACACGCAAACTAAAAGGAAACCAAACAGAACAACCGGACACTGATAAGAAATCAACAGGGGGCCAAAAACATATTGAACACCAGGGAAAAAGCCCAGGGCGTTTGTTCCACCGCGATTTCACCTCTTTCCAAGGCCGCGTTTGCTGCAAGCGCCTGCCGCGCGAGCTGGGGCCTATGGCGAGTTGTGGGGGGGCTGGTCTGTCGGTCTGTCAGGTGCCAGGGAACGTCACGCCACGCCATGTGAGTCGTGTTTACCTCCTCTGTGATTGCCTTTGAAAGGGGCAAGGATCCATTTGCGTATGGCTCAAAAAACCGGTACCAAAACAGAATGCTGGTAAGTGGAAACATAGACCAAAACCGGCGTAACCCTAGCTCGATCATTTTGAGCCACTGCCATTTGATCCATGGTCGCATTGGTCTACTTGTTCCACAGCTGTTTTTTGACATCAGCCGTTGATCGGAAGGGGAAAAGTACGAATGCAGGCCGCCACAAGCATCCCTCTCAATTTGTCAAACAGACTCCCAAAGGAATGACCAGCCTATATAAACGATGAGGGCACAGGCTGCAGACATTGATCGGAAATCTACGGGGAGATCCATTCGTCTTTTGCTCCAACGTCAGCCATGATTCTGTGCAAATCATAGCGAGCACAAAGACACGAGCTCATCCATGAAGGCACTTTGCTTCGGGATCGGAATTGGGAAGAGTTCTAGGGGTAGCTTCCATTTCCATTCTTTGCCGGGATCCGAATCTTTCAGAAAACCACCAAACAACCCGGGACAAACAGCTGGTTAGTGAAACGAACGATGATTGAAAATAATGGGGAATCAACTCCTAGAATAATGGTAATCTGCCCACTACGTATGAGGCACTTGTATTCTTGCCTAAGGGTCCTTAAACGGCGGGGGATTCATCAACCCCAACATGACACCTATCCTGAGCGGAACATAGCCCAAAGGTGAAGCCCGTTGATAGCTCCTCCGAGCAGATAGGGCATTCTGTTGTGCTTGGTTGTGAACAGCCGGTTTCAATCATCTGAACATCTCCAAACAATGTCAAGGGAACTTTGTGGGAACGCAAACCAACCCACCCACCCACCCCACCCACCCACCCACCCACGCACCTACCTACCAACCGACCGACCGACCAACCAACCGACCAACCGACCCACCAACCAACCAACCGACCAACCAACCAACCGACCGACCAACCAACCAACCAACCAACCAACCTGTTTGGCAACCAAGCCGGTCTCAAAACCCTGAAATGTTAAATTCACTTACGGCCGCCCTTCGTTGGGAACCCCTCCCCTCCCCTCCCCTCCCCTCCCCTCCCCTCCTCCCCTCCCCTCCCCTCCTCTCCCCTCCCCTCCCCTCCCTCCCCTCCCTCCATCTCTCTTCCCCTCAGCTCACCTGTTGATTTGACAACCATTTCAATCCATTTGTTGCCCCCTCCTCGTTTCTGGGGTCTCCTCCAAAACGAATTTGTACGTTTGGGGTAATTCGGCTAAATATGAAACCAATTCAGATAGAACATGTCAAGTTCTGTGTAGCCATGGCTTCTAGCCCAGTGCTTCCAGGCGCTTGCCACTATAGTAGACAACCCTTCGGTATAGCCATCTCCAGGTTTTACATCATGGTGAAACCCCTTACCTATAGGGGCGCGGCTCGCCTAGAAGCACTCGGACGCCGGCGAGGTTTTTGTCAGGGCCCAAGCAGCTCACTGTTTCACGGTTTCCCCTGGTTACCTACCATAGTGGCCACCGACTATAGTGGCGAAACGCGTGGAAGCCAACCTAGGTCCCCCAATAGTGCCCTTTTACGATTTTCCGGGGAGGGTTCCCCTTCTAAAATCGACAGAACAACAGTTGGTACCAATCTCTTCTAACCTCTGAAATCTGGAGGACCTAGTGGCGAAACGCGCGGAAGCCAACAAGCGGTTCACTTTTCCTGGCCAGTGACTCTCTTAACCTTGCCACTGACTCACGGCTCAGCCCGTCTGCCCGCCTTCTGCCGACGGGTCGACCGGCCGAGCGGTCGAGGCGGTGGTGCTGTCCTCGCTGTTGGAGTTGCCTGCGGAGGCGCTGGCGGAGCTGGTGACCGATGCGCTGCTCGAGGCGAAGCTTTCGGAGAGAAAGTCCTCCAGCCAGAAACCGTCGAGCGCTTCTTTGGGGTTTACCAGGTGGTTCTCCCAGGATTCAAATCGAGCGTCATCCATCGCAACCCTTGCAAAGTGGATTTTGTCTACCTGGAGTCTCCTTTTGACCCTTATACAAATGGTTGGTCATTAAGGGAGACTTCAGGTTGTTTGGGGGTGGTACCTGGAGTCTCCGGGGACCTTGTGGTCACTACCCACAGAATATGTCGGGGTCATAAGGACCAACCATGACCAACCATGATTTAAGGATCAGAAGGACACTCCAGGTGCCCGTTTAAGCCGGGCTTGGACTGGGGTGAAATGATTTTGACGGTTTCTGACAATTATCAAAGTCAGAAGCTGGTTGCTGGATTCCCTTTCCTACCACTTATGGGTTGATAGTGGCGGAACAGTGGGGCCTCGGAACATATCCCGCTCTTCTTAAGGTTGACTACAAGTATGGTTGTACTGCTGTTGTTTTTTTCGGGGGGGTTGAGGAGGGGGGGTGGGAATGGGGTTTGTTTTGGTTGATTGTTTTGTTTTTGTTTGTTTTGCCTAAATCATTTGAATGGGGTGAGTACCCTCCCTCCCAGAACATGGGTTTAGAGGGAGCTGATGTAGGGGTCGTTTCACAATTAGTATTTGAGGTTGGATACTTGAAAGCCATCATTCATGATTGGAGGGCAAATATTTTAGTATATCTACATCTACATCAAACCATCTTCAAGGCGAGCCTTTCCCTGCTTGCGAGCAACGCTGCCCCCGAAACCTGCCAGTTGGTCAACTGATTTGGGCCATCTCGGAACTTGCCTGGATTTTGTCATGGACATCTTGGGGTGTCAACTCGTTTTTTGGCCAACCAAATGGGGTTGTGTCAAAATAGGGGAAACCGAGCAACTCAGGGTTTGCTCTAGGTTCCGTTTAAACCAACCGCGAAAAGGGCAATTACCCTCAAAACGAGACACCCAAGTGCACATCCGCCCGACCTCGAGTATTCAGGCCTTGGGGGCAGATGCGGTGGTGGTGTGCAACATCTTGGCCAAGGACTGGGCAGTCAACTTACAGCTTGAGTGTTCAAGCTACTTAGTACCTTCCCACCAAACCACATGGAACCTGACAGGGGTCCCTTTAAAATAAAAATGATCTTCCAGGACCCCCCGAACGTCAGGTTCCTTGTCAAGTGGTGGGAGGGTAAGTAGGTTATAACCATGGTTATAAGGAGAGGAACCCCAGTTTCCCCACGTACAACTATGTGCGTACTCTACTTACTAAGTTGGTTGAACAAGGGGGTTGTGAAGTCCCCCACTATAGCTGTTTTTCTTTGGGTTACCCTTCATTGTGCTTGTATTGTTGTGTTGGTTTACTGATTTATGTGTTCAATCTTTGATTTGTTTACGAGTCTGTTTATTGGTTTATTCATTGCTACTTTTCTGATTTGTTTTGTTGTTTCGCTATTTAGTTGTGTATTCATTTATGTATTGATTCATTGATTGTTTTGTGTGGCTAGTTATTGATTGCTCCATTTGCATATTTATAGTTTATTTATGTACTTTAAACGGGTTTCCTTGGGGTGCCTTGGACACCCCCGTCCCCGTGGGGGACACCCTTTGTACCAGTGGGGAACCTACCTACATGCGTACCTACCTGCCTACCTGCCTGCCTACCTACCTACCCACTTACCCACCTACCTACCCACCCACCTACCCACTTACCCACCTACCTACCTACCTACATGCACGTGAAGTCAATTTTACGCAAAGTACAGTGACCGAAACAGAGGCAACGACCACAAAGAAGCTCCCCCTCGCGGCAGGTTCCGAAGTACAAAGCCTTACTTTGGGTGAGTGAATCTTAGTGATTCACTCAGGTTTCCCGATGTCTGCGGTCAAGTGGATTTCATGAGGTGTTCTCCAATTGGGTGGCACTTTTTTTTTTGAGGGTCCCCCCTCCCTTTGTTGTGGTCTTAAAGGGCAACGAAAAGGAGAAGCACCTTAGAACCCAACAGGAGCACTGATTTTGTTTTGGGTGTCCAAATCCCACATCTTCTTTCTGCACTACGTTTAGGGTTTGCTATTTCCCCAAGATCGGCTCGTTCGGGGTGGAGATCAGGCAGCTTACCTGGGCTCGAAACGACCCATGCCCATTTGAGCGGAACGCCCGCCACGCTTCGCGAGGATCCCAATGTCTTGGCATCATGGGCGACCTGCAAAAGGCGAAGAAAAACTCGAGCCGGCCTTCGAATGTATAAGATCTTACCTGGGGTCTCCTACTGTTTGCGTGTTTCTGTTTCTTTAGTGGTTGTTTTTCTAGCAAGTTTAGGGCAGACTAAACATGACACATCATATCGTATGTTTGCTTTGGTGCCCCAGATTTGGGCTCAGTGGGATAGTTCTCTCCATGGGTCGACAGGCTAAAAGATTCAGCCCTTTGGAGGAATGCGTGTTGTCTCTCTCTCTCTCTCTCTGTTGTTTTTTTTTGTGTTCTATTTTTTCCGCTCTCTCACTCTCTCTTTCTCTCTCGCTCTCTCTCTCTCTCTATCTCTTTCCCTCAAGGGTCCGACGGCTGTTCAAGTAGTTGTCCGTGCTAAAGGAAGCCAGAATAGGATTGCTTGTATATTGACGGTCCAAACGCATGAGTTCCTGCTTGCAGTCAAACGTTTTGCCATGACCTTCTTCACATTGGGAGGGATAACAAAGCTGAGGAAGCTGAAAGTTGCCGGCCAAATTGGACTGACAAGATGCACCTGGAGTCTCCTTTTGACCCCTTAAACATGGTGGTCATGACCCCGAAAAATGTTGGGTAATGACAAAAACACTTTGAGTGTCAGGAGGAGACTCCAGGTAGAGTTGTTGTTCTCTCCTTTGTCTGCGCCTCCAAAAGAAGCCGTGGCGTGGCGAGACTTGCTTTGGTGTACCCGCCCCATTGCTTAACGTGAGCTCTTTACTACGGTTTTATTAGTAGTGCCCTTTTACCCCTTGTTGGGGGAGGGTTCTCCTATTAATTTAGACTACAAAAAGGTACCCTTATTCTAACCTCTCTACTGGAGGGCCTAGTTTAGGTTTTTTCTCTTGAGGTTTGACACATCGCCTTGGCCTGTTGTGAGTTTCCTCTCGATGTTGTTTCTCATGGAAACCATTGGTTGAACAAGCTGGAAGAAGCAGGTGTGCGCGTGTGTCTCTTTTTTTGAGAACCCCCCCCCCCGAAAAAAAGACAGCAACAAAAGGAGCATGGTTTCCGTTTACCCAAAAAAACGGTGCAGGACCACATTCTGCAGGGCAAGCTAGCAGATAGCAGATCGTCCAACACCACATCCCACCTTACCCAGAGGTTTCCAGAAGCTCAGGAACCCAGGCCTTTCCGGTTGGGCTGAGTTTTTTTTTGTGAGTCCCATATTATTCATTCTACAAACGTACACCTGGGGTGTGTATCTTGGTCCAACTTCCTAAACGTCCTTGGGGTCATCAGTTTACTGGTGCAGACATGTGAACCATGGTTGGTGTCCTTGTGGTTTGCCTTTGAGACAAGCGCGAAAAGGTTACCTGGAGTCTCCACGACCCTTGAAAAATGGGTTGCCATGGCCTCTATAAAGTAGACTCCAGGTACTATCCAGTATCCCCAACCAATTCATGTAGCAATACAATATAGATCAGCATTTGAGCCATTCGAAGGGTAAATGTGGGCATATATTGTACATCTGAATGCGTTTGTGAGGAACATCGCAGCACTGTGCAGCACACAAAATCGCGGTTTTCCCAATAGGACATAACAGAATAGCTAGGGACGGCCGGCTCTGGGCATTCTTCGGGATTCCCTGTCAAGAAGACCAACGAGGTGATCTGTCTGGGTTGCCATCACCCCTGCATGGTTGCTGTTGGGAAGCATTTTACAGTATTTGCTGATTGTAGTTTAGAGGGAAATCCCCACTTAGCTGCTAAAATTTAATTTGTTGCTCCCCTTCCAACGTCAACCAAGTCGGCTTTGGGTCACCCCAAGACTCCAGGTCCATCCATCACCTTCCATTTGCTCAAACAAATCTATTATTTTCCCTTGTTGGTTTTACAGGGAATCTAGCACTGCTGGAAATATGTTCTCATTTTTGCCAGGGGTCGAACACGCCAATGGAAGTCATCCCAAACACACTCAGCCGGGCCCGATTCGTCGCGAGGCTGTTGGCCCTGCCGCTGCTTGCACAGCGACGACTCTGCGCCTGCCTCGCACCTTCCTTGGGCTCCCTTTCCCAGGACATCGCACAGGCGCAAAAACCGCTCTGGACATTGGACATGTTTGTTTACATAATATATAAATATATGCATATATATGTTAGCAAACATATGTTTTGTGTGGTTCTGTTTATGTTTAACAGGGGGCTTCAAAAACCACGTTTTTTGCTCCCACCCCTCACCGGTCGGAAAAATGGTGACCGCTGAGTTCGGTTCGCGGAGGTCGAGAGGGGAAGCTTTTCCATTTCTGAACCCAGTCCGATTTTTTTTCATGGAAGGCCTCGAAACCCCCACCCAGTGCCTCCAGGTACAAACCGAAAAAGGTAAAGAGCTATCGCGCTTCCTCGAGCTTTTACGTCCTGGCTGCCCCTAGTTACCTACTTTGGCGGTACCTAGAAGCACTGGGGCGTTTTGTTTAAAGAAGGATGGTTGAACATAATGGGGAAACAACCCCTGGAAGAGGCGGGTTGTGGGGGTGGGGGGAGGCTTGGAGCAGGGGGAAGGGGGTGGGGGGGGGGGGGGGACTTTGTTGGAAATTGCGGTGTTTTGTTTTTAGGTTGCGGCCTTTTTTTTTGAAGTGGCTAAACGGATTGTAGTGCCGCTTTCTGTGCTGCCACAAACCCGTTCAAAGTGAGGACATAAGTAGTCATGGGGATGGGAGGGGCGGCAACGGTTGCAGAAGAAGTTGTGTTGGAAGGGGGGGGGCCAGGGATGGCGGTCGGAAGCTCGGATTCTATATATATATATATATAATATCATGCATGCTCGAATTCTTTATAATATGTCATGCATATATCTACATGAAGTGTGTGGACCTGTGTGGAGGCGTGTGATTTGAAACTTGTTCGCTATGGCGGGATTGATTGATGTTGGGAAGGCAGCGTTGTGACTGAGGTCGGTCAGGTTGTGCTTGGCTCGCTGTGTGTTTTCTGCCAACCGCCAAGGCGCCAATTTTGAGCCTCTTCCTGGAGCCCTGTTCCCTTCCCCAGAATTAGCTCCCCAGTTTTTCGATTCTTTGCTTTGTTGGGGTCCCTTTGCTTTCCAGTAACCAGGCTTCTTCTTCTTCTTTCTTCTCTGGGGTCCTACTTCCAGCCTAGTTCCCAATAGTACTCAGCCCATGGGTTTCTGTCTCAGGGGGCGGTAAGAACCTATACCTGGAGTCTCCTTCTGACCCTTAAAACATGGGGTCATTATCCATGACCCTTAAAACATGGTTTGTCATTATATACCCAAAATAATGGTTGGTCATGCCATTTTGTAAAAAAAAAAAAAGGTCATGGAGTCTCCAGGTAGATTCGGCAAAGCGCCCAATGAAGTCCATCAACTCAAGTAGCGCGCCATTGTTCTTCTTGAGCCAACTACAGCGAGTATCTTGGGCTCATACTCGTGAGACACTCATCTAGGTCTCCCAGTAGTTCCCTTTTACCCTCTTTTGGGGAGGGCTCCCCTGCTAAATAGACTACAGAAAATCAAAATCGGGTACCAACTTATTCTAACCTCTCAAATCTGGAGGACCTAGCGCATGCATTCGTTGGATTGCGCAAGTGGTTCCCAGAGCTTGATCCCCTCCGGCTCAGAGCCGGGAACCGCCGAAAGGAACCATGTGGGTAGCAAACCTGGGCGAAAAAAGCTGAAAGCTGGGTCTTTGCCCGCGCCAGAGTCCAGAGCAGCTCCAAACAAAGGGTTCCGCAAAGGTTTCCTGGGGTACTAGGTCCCCCAGTGCCCTTGTCTCCCCTTTTTTTGGGGGAGGGTTGCCCTACTAAAATGGACTACACAAAAAAGGGTATCCTTATTCTAACCTCTCTACTGGAGGACCTGGGCTCATGTTTTGCACGGTGAGTTCTGCACGAAGACTTGTCAATCCAAAAACATGCTCCGTGGTTCGAGCACGCTCACTGGGCAAGAGTTTAGAGACCATTGGCACGATATTTACCCTACATCTCTCGGGACGAACTGAAGGTCCTAAAAAAGACACTCCAAGTCCTGTTCCTACAGCGGTAATCGGATCTGGAATGTCAGAGTTTAAACAGGTCTGTAAACCAGGGGTTCGCCTTTCCTGGCGAGCAACAACCCGCCAGGTTGTGGTGCAAGTTCTGGCCGGAAATTCGGACATGGCGACTTGCCGGGTGGACGCATTTCGATCATTGGACACTGTTGCGGCTCAGACGTGCAGTACCCAAGAACGATCTCCTTTCAACGGGGTCCCTCGGTACCTTAGATATGTTCGCAGAGTTTTGAGGAATCTGTAAATGACAAATCCCCCGTTGTCACCAAGCCCCTTGGACCGTAAACATAGGGACCCGTCCTGTTTGGGCCGAGACCTCTGGGCTTCTGTCCCTTTGAAGGAGAGGGTGTCACGTCTTCATGGCCACTGGTCTTACCGGGTCTTCCGCGAAATCGAACTTCAGGTTGCCACTTCTTTAAAAAAAAAATGGGAGGCCCTGAAAGCGTTCCCTGGTATCGTTGGTGTTCTCCTTGAGATGCAAAAGAAGCCGTTGACAACTTTTGGGGAAAGCGAGTTTAGTAGCACAACTGGTTCGGACTTTTTTGGGCCACTCAGGAAAAGAGAAAGAGAGAGAGAGAGAGACACTGGATTGACTTTTCGTGTTTTGGAACCATCGGTGGCATTTGGTTGGTCCGTTTGGTTCGTAGATGGCCTGGGTTTCAATTTGGCTGTTTCCAGAGGCCGAGGCTTGCCGGTATACAACCTAATGTACCCGGGGCGGATGAGCCCTCTCCCGTTGCGATTTTCCATGGGTGGAATACGAATTCCCATGTCCTTCGGCTTCGGGCTCACCTGGAGTCTCCGAATCTGACCCTTAGAAGATGGGATCATGACCCCAAATAATGGTTGGTCATTGACCCATTTTGTAAGGGTCAGAAGGAGACTCCAGGTGACAGCTCCAGAGGGGCCAAGTACCTCCTGAAGATGGCTTCGGGGGGTGAAAAGGGGTCATTGACCTATTTTTATTTCGGGTCATGGAGACTCCAGGTACAAACTGGAAGTTTGCCAAACCACCTCGGACACAAGTAAATGCACCGAGGACTCCAAGCATCGAGTCGAGGAGGACGTGGTCAGTAGGCATTGGTGGCGGCTTGGGCGGCGAACAGTCTTGTCTCCTTAGACGGGTTGGACACCCCCTGTTCTCGCTTGAAATTGGTTCACATGTTTAAGCTTATAGCTAATGGATCCGACCCCAACTTTTTATTTTTATTTTTTGGTTGGGAGGGACAAACAAAGCTGAGGTAGGCCTTGCTGTTGGAGGATTCCCCCCGGCTTCCGTCCCGCAGAAAAAGAAAAAGAGAAACGAACTTGCCCCTTGCAGGTCCCAGGTCTTCCAGTGCCCGCTGTGGTGGGTCTCCAGGGGTTCTTTCCTCTAGGTCCAGTAGTGCCCTTTCTCACCCCTTTTTTGGGGAGATTCGGCTGCCCTACTAAAATGGACTACAGAAAAAAGGGTGCCCTTATTGCAGCCTCAGGACCTAGTCTATGTTTGGTTCTTCCTGTTTCTTCTACTTTAATGGTAACTGAAAGCATTGGATGATTTTCATCATCGGTTTTTCCTTTTTGTTTCTACTTTACTGGTAACTGGAAGCACTGGGGGGTGGCTTGAAACCTGATTTGTTTGGCTGTGCCTTTTTAGAGCTACTGTACCTTATGGTGGGAATCTTGAAGGTGTTCTTACACCCTTGCGGCTGTGGAGCGAGTGCCCGGGACAACTGCTCCCAGAAATTCCAAGTACCTTCTGAGGTGCTGAATGACCCCTTAGCCCCCAAAGCCATCCGGAGGTAGGGACCCGCTGGAGCTGTCCCTAGGTACTTCATCCCAATTTGCCGTAGGTTTCAGCCGTCGGTGCAGGATTTCGTCCGTCGGTAGGTGTTATCCTCTCGGCTGCTTTAAACCTCGCCTCACAACAACCCCTGATCCACAAGATCTCAGGCGTGCGCTTTGGCTGCTGATTTCGGTGCTCCTGATCGCGATGATCTTACGCCTTAGTCGGGTCAGTGATGTCGTGTGAACGATGGGGCTCAGGGCAGATCCAGGCGCTTGCCGCTTTTGCCGCAAACCCTTCGGTATGAATCGCTACCTTCATGGTTTCCCTGCTTCATGGCTGTGCCGAGGTTGTTGAGGACATGTTGCTTTCGTGAGTCATGAGTCCCGACCCGCAAAAAATGTTGGTGTACATCACAACCAAATCCGGCTGACACCCAGCACCAGTGAGATGTCCCACAAACGGCAAGAGTTCATGCTAGGCTCCCTTCATACCCCCATATTTTTCCCGGGTGCCTTGGCCCCCATTAAAAAGGAATGCCTATGGTTGACGCAGATGAAACTCCTGAACGGTCAAAACTGGTGGTTATCTTAACCCTCTGTGTTTTAATGGTGGTTTGAACCCAGGGCTTTGCGGTTTCGGGCTTGGTTCTAGCTTCTTGGTCAACAGATTCCGAACAACATCCGCGACTATATGAGGTAACGCTACTTTGTGGGAATTATAGTATTTGCGCAGAATGCAAGTGTGCAAGACCACCCAAAAGGGGGTGAATTATTTCAATCAGGGGACACCTTTTTGGGGGTGGTTTCCCTTTACCATCCCTCAACATACTTTCGAAAATACCAACAAACAATATTGTTTTGCAGGCTTATGGGGCTGTGGCCCTGTCGCCCTGAGCCCACTGCATGCCCGTTGCGCGCCAGCAAAGAAGCACAGACACGCGTGACGGACCCCCCGAGGGGCCGACGATGATTCGGCACTCGGGTGTCTACAGAAAAAATCGGCTGGACCAGCCATGCGCGGCATTCCAAGGTTGCTTTTGGCACCCTTGGCAGGAAAGAATAGCTGGAACACCCCAATTTGATCCAGGGGGTCCTTTGGTAACTTGTAATTGCGGAATTTATCAAAATCTGTAACCGCTTTGACCAAACCTAAGAAAGCAAATATGGGCTACCAAGGGACCCTCTGGGTAAGATAAAGGGTCAAGCAGTGCCTGGCCAGTTGCATTTAGAGTTGCAGTTCAGATAGCTGACGCGTGCCTGCTACGAGTCCAAGAAACAGCTCTTGGTGAAGAGGGACTGAATTCACCTCCGAAGTCCGCATGATTCCCTTCATGTTCGTCTTTTCCTGGTCGAGTTTCCGTCTACACTCACATGGCCACTGAACCCTTCGATCGATGTCTGATTCCATGCAAACACGGCCGGGGCCGGCCCCGTTCCTCAGCTCAATGGGTGGCATTCCCCTTGAAAATGATTTCCCCGTCAGAAAGTGGTGACTGGCTGAAAGTAAGTCTTGTTGCTCTCAGTTTTTGTGTTTCTGTTCACCCCGATTTTTTGATTTCATGTGTTCCACTTGAAGTGCGTCAGATGCCTGGGGCATGAAAACTGCGCTGGATAGCGATTTTGAGTGTCGACTACGCCATCTGCAGGCTGGGAGGGGGGGGCGCTCCTTCTCCACATGTCAGACACCCTGGGATCATAGGTCTTTTTAGGTTTGTTTGGTTAAAAGTAGATGGGTCCTACCGGTTTAGATGGGTTTTATGCCCAATTTACCAGGGACGCCCTTCTACGTTTCCAAACGGTCACCCCTGCCTGAGATGTTCCTTTGCAGGTTAGTAATTATAGATCTCAAGCAGGGGTCTTAACAAGAGATACAAAACCAGTTGCTTTTCTTTTGGATTTATTTGGTTGACCTGTCTAGCCCAGTGCCTCCAGATGTTTCGCGCGGGGTTTCCAAACAAGATGCTAAAACCTACAGGTAGCCATACCGAAGGCTTACCTACCTTTTGTGGCTTGCCTGGCCTGGAAGCACTGGGCTTGGTACAACACGACCGGTTTGGGTACTCAAAAAGAGATTCTCTTCAAATCCGCCTTTATCGAGCCCAATGTCCCCCCGAATCACTTGAATCCTGCATTCAGAGGTGTGTGTGTGTGCGCGTGTGTGTCCGTGTGTGTATGCAGGCCCTTCTTGACACCCAGTGTGAATTTCAAGCGTTGGAACCACCCTGAAACCCAGATCGTCCCAAACGGCCGGTACCCCATATATTTACGGTTTGGTGAATTCGGGGATTCGTCGACAGATTCGGGTCTCCAATGAAAGTTCATGTCCAATGCAAGAGAGTAGCAATTGAAGCACCATAGATGTCCTTTTGGTTGGTTTGCGTCAAACATACAGGGCGATTCCTGGCTTAGATGGGATTTATTCCATTTACCAGGGAAACCCATTGATATTTAACCAACAGGCCACCTATGTGGAGCACCGGCTGCGCAGCATCCCTCCCAGCTTGCCCTCAGCGCTGACCGGATGCGACGTCCGAATGAGCTTTTTCTTCCGCGTCCGCCTGTGTGAGATCTTGGAGCCGAATTGCTTCCATTTGGTTAAGAATATGTGGGTGTGGGTCAATATTAAACCAGACCGCAGATGTTAGTCCATATTTCCATTTACCAGGGTTCCATGTTGAGTCCTATTTTTGACCCGCAGCCATGTGTTTTTGTTACCCCTGTTGGTCTTAAAGGGAATCTATCACTACTGGACATATTCTTCAATTTTGTCCAGGGGACTTAAGCAAACGGAGGTAGAGAGAGCGAGAGAGAGTGCTTGGATGTAAAACCAACTTAGTAAGTAGGTTATGACCGTGGTTATAAGTGAGGTAACTGGGGCGGGGCCCCTTAGAACCATGGTTACAACCTACTTACTAAGTAGCTTGAAATTCCAAGTGAGGAGGCCGTTGAACGGGTGCTAATCAGCGGGTTCTAAGCGCAAGGGACAATCATGTACACATTTCTGTTTTACGCATTCCATAAGTCCGAAAAAACAATTAGAGTACCATTTGAAACCCTCCTGGGGTAGTATCCAAAAGGAACCCATTTGTTAGAACCCATTCAACGGCTCACTCAAGAGTGGACTTGGGCATTCCTCGGGCAGACTCGCCAAAGCAATTCCCATTACCAAACAGGGGTTACTCACCAAAGTCCCATGTTGTCTGGGGACACACTGACTATAGACCGTACTCGTAGCTAACGTGAGGTTCTGTCACAATCTTCAGAACTCTAAGGTCCGTCAACTTCCCACAAATACTAGAGGACTCACTATTTGTCATGTCCTTGACCGTAATATAAGAACATATTTTGACCGCGGCTCATGTATGTGCTACGGTCAACACTTCACCAATTGCGAGCCTGAATTCAAGCAGCCATGAAACGTGTAGTGGGCCATGCTATGAGGACCCTGCTGCTTGATGTCGCGCGTGTTTGACTACACAATAACCACACAGCTGGATTGGCTATCAGTCGAGCCAAAAGGACTGGGAAGTCGAAGGAACCCATGACTGACTCAAAGGGAAGCCGCACGTTGACTCAATGCGCAAGGTTTGAAATGGTTGCCGCAAGCCTTGAAAGGACAATCAATCCCTGGGGAAATTGCTTCGCGTTGTCTTTTGGTTTTCCTCTCAGTTTCCATTGTTCTGGATCCAGTCCCGATTCAGTCCCTTGGTGTCTGATATTTGCAGAATTTCTCGGAATTTGGGAATGACGAGTCCCCGTTTTCACCAAGCCTGACACCGTTTGCTCTGGGTAGCGAATCTCATTTCGAGGGGCAACGAATGATTGGTAGGGTATCGCGTCCCAAGACAGGTAATCGGTCCAAGGGGTTTGGTGATCGCGGAGATTCGTCATGTATAGATTCCGAGAAAGTCTGCAAGTACAAGGCACCAATGGACCCAGAGGGATGTGAAGGGGTGTTTTTGGTGTACCCCAGATGTGGGCCAAGGGGTCTTTCGTAGAGGCCGCGGAAGGAAGCAGTTTGTGAGTGACCACCTAGGTCCCCCAGCGATCGGTGCCCTTTCTCACCCGTTTTTGTTTGGAGGGTTCCCCTACTAAAATGCACTACAGAAAAACATCGGGTACCAACTCATTTGAGCACATCTCTACTGGGTTGGACCTAGCCACGATTTGACTCTGACCCTGTCAGACGAGAAATTTAAAGTTGCGGGCCGGTCGGAGAGTCAGACAGGCCAAAAAGTGGATTGCCATCCCTCCAGCTAACATGGCGCTTGACAGAGGGTCCCTTCAGAAGGAGATTGACCTTCTAGTATCCTCCCACAGGTGCCAAAAGAAAATCCAAGCCTCCGTTTTGAGTAAGTCCAGTTCTATAGAAGTGTGTCAAGTCACAAGAAGCCATGTTGCGCTTGGAGTCATGCATGCATGATCAGCTCCTCATGGCTTCTGTTCGTCAAAAAAAATAGCTTCAAAACATATGACTTGGGAGAAGCGCCGGTTGATAGGAACATGTGGCAAAACAACTATGCATGTACAGTAGTCGCTCTATAGTGGTTATGGTATATTTCTTCTGGACCAGCCAGAGAACCCCCTCCGGAGTATTTGGAAGTCAGCATTATGGGATGCCAGAAGATTTGTGGATGGAGTCATGGAGGTCTGCCCGTGTCTTGAACCCAACCCAGGCATTCCGAACAGTTCTTCGTTTGGGCAGATTCCCGACTCCGAGACGCCAACGCTGTGTTCGGGTGGTCTATTTAGCCCATGCCCAACACCTCTTTCTGCCCATGTCGGGGTGCTGGATGTGGTTTTTCTTATTTTTGTTATTCTTACCTCTTAAAAAACACAACTTTTCAACTTTTTGGGGGTAACATTGGCTATATGTCTGTAAAATATTAACTTCCAGGGCTTGGAGTTTTAAGGGATAAGTATTTGCCCAGCCCCGATTTTGGATCAACACCACCCAGTTGCACAGCACCCTGGCGTCCTTTTTGGCAGCGTGTGGGCCCCCTTCAAAAGATCTGCCACTCATTTTTGGTCGGTGTGCGTCAAAATGGGGGATTTGGAGCCCCATGATGGTTGCTGTCCTTTTGGTTTCCCTTTAAGCCAACCCAACAAGGGGCGGTACTGTGGATGGACAAAATCCCGCACCACTTTAAAAACCATGGGAATGATTTTTGGTATTTGCAATGAAATCGAATCATTCCAGGGTTTCTTTGGTGGCGCGAAATGGGTTTCGTCCATCCACAGTAT